CCAATGAAAGGTTACAAGGGGAACGCAGAAATAAGTTATTGTAAAACAATCAAGGATTATTTTAAATGATATCAAATATCCAAGGAAAGAAATATATATATAGTTTATATCTTTTTATATTACTGTGGAAATTTTGAATTTTTACAACTTTGTCCTTTCAAGTCTAAAAACACATATATAACATTAAGATTACAGAAATGGCTACAGTTCTTATTCAAATTTATCTGATCTACATTTTACAGTCTATCAAGACTCTGAATATAGGCAAATTTCTAAGAACATAGAAGATTTATATATGTATATGCATATATATATACATATATACATATATGTGTGGATATGTGTGTATTTATATACACACATACACATATCAGGGCAAAGCACTTATTTTCTTGGTCTTTTTCTTGATTCCTATTTGTACTCATTTAGTCTGTCAAAGCCCAAGGAAACCGCTGGTGAGGGGTACTCCGCGTGAAAACAGTGTCCTGTGGCAGGGACTCCGCTGTTATCTAAAGAGCTGACAGATCAACCAATGACTAAGAGTCAAAGATGGGGAATCTTTGGGATTGCCTCAAGTGGCAATTACAGGCAGCATTACATATTACATATTACAAACGCCATTCTCTTGACAAATCTTTCTCACCTAGAGACTTGTGAGAAATAGAGGAGAACAAAAGTAACCTATTGTGATAGTTGGCTATTACCCAGGAGGAGGAGACTTGAGCAGTTTGGTGAAGACAGGATGGAGTAACACAACTGAATAGAGCATGCAGGCTGATTGGAAGTCTTGCTCATAGGGGATCCTGGTGGGGAGATTTTAATTTGCTAAGCTGAAATTTCAAACGGACAGTGTAGTGTAATGCCAGCAAAGTGTACACTGTGCCTATTGAGTACAGGTAAATCAGATTAGAATGGAAAGCTCAGTTGATCTGATTTCTTACAGGCTGTTTTAATCACAAGACTAATGTTTCTGAACCTTTAATATGTGGCACGACTGTATGGAGGATCTCTGATAAATCCAAAGTTTTGATCTTGTCTGATTCAGCCATAATCATATCATTAGTAGCTAAGATTAAGATTTGTACCAGGGATAAGTCTTGAGAAGACGTCTTAGAAGAATTCAATGTGTGGCTTTCTATTTGTAAAAAAGACTAGATGTTAAATTTAAAGCCAAGAACTTCCAAGATCTTCTCTTTCTTTTGGTGTTTCAAAGCTTATTTTATTTTCTCTTTTAACCCATGCTGCACTTCCCCATGTTTAACATTGCAAATTTCACACATGTATAAAGTCATGCAGATGAATTATTTTACCTTTGCCTGCACCTACATCAGGTGGAAGAATACCAGCTTTAATGAAGGGAAACAGAAATAGGACACTATATAGTTAAATGTAACACACCCATGATCATGTAAAGCTATATAAAACACTTAATAAAATGCTAAAGCATGCAAGAAGAATGAAGTGTACCATATCAGGTACAGGGGACAAAGATACGTTGGCGTCCTCAAACTTACCCAGTAATCCAATCCACACATTACTTAAGGTATACTATTCATACTTGCCTATTATAATGTAAGAAGGCTTAGGCTATCTCAAACCAATTTTTGGTAGAAATGTCAATTTCTTATGCTATGGAAGATAATCAAATAAATAATCTTTAAAGAATGCTACAATTTAGAGACATGCAAAAACAAAATCTAATTTTACAATATTTTTGATCATTTTCATTAAGTTTTTCAAAATAATTTTTAAAAGTATGAAAGAAAGTGTTAATTCATTTTCTAGATACTTATAGGGACTATTTTGCTTTCTTTACCACATGGCATACCAAATTATCAAGTCCCATGCTCTAACACAAAATAAATGCCCTATTTAAGAGCTGTTTCAATTTCCTTGTTAGAAAACCTAAATCAGAATGTAAAATAGCAAATTATTTTCTGGCGAATCAAGATCAGAGCTAGAATTAAATATATTTATTTGTATATACATATGTGTGCATCTATATGTATTACATGTATGTGTATGTATATGTGTGTATGTATATATGTAAAGTAGTAAATAGAAAAAAAACTGTTGCCTTGAACTTCAAAGTCAAGTGTGGCAAAATAGTGTAATCTTCCACTCTCACCTCAATGTTTTAATAAAAGTTTAAAAATTTCATAAGGACTTAGAAAACAAATGTCAAGCTGTTATTTTAATATGAATTAAATAATTGATTTTATATATATCAAAATGAGAAATTACAAGTAAGTGTTTGTATTAATTGGGTAAGATGGCTACTCCATGGTAAGAAGGAAAGCATAAATTTAAGTTAAAATATTTTTGTTTCACAATATTTATAGTTTTATGAATTTTATACATACCCATCTTACCTTCATTCACAGTTGTTACTGCTTCCTCTGTTATCTGACTTCCTGATCCTGCTGACGTTTGTGCATAGAGATAAAATTTATACCGAGTACTGAAATTTAAATTTTTTAAAGTCCAACGTGTCTTGTTGGCAGGAATTTTCAAATCTACCAGAGGACCTAATTCATGGGTGCTGTTAACTGTCAAGAAAAAATAATAAACAAGTGCATTCCCCATTAATTGCTATAGGATACTATTATAAATAAATGTATCCACCAAAAATGTCGAACTCGGATTACACTGACTTCTGTAACCCTACTCGCTTTTTGCCTGACATAACTAATAATCTTTTACAGCTCTTATAATGTGTCATAACAAGGGGAAATATATTCCTCATTGGCTTTTAAGCTAGAGAAATTTTATAATTGAGTAAAAATAGCATTTCTCAGCTCTGTGTTTTCGCAGGTGGAGAGGTGGAGTAATGTATTATTAAATAACCCCAAACCTCATCTTCAGAAGCCTGTGACAAAGGAACCCCTCTCACTATTCTCTAGTTATAGATTACCTCTACCTAATGTAATGATAGCATCTACCTAAACCCCATGCCCAAATACAGATTATTCTAGATAATACTTAATTTTCAATAGCATGTATGCCATTTTTCTTTAATAAGTATCATTTGAAGTTCCTTCTGGAATAACACTTGAAGGTATATGTATAAATTCTACAGCTATAAAGAAATACTCAGTTTGTATGTTAAGATAACAGTTGTTTCCCCTTTTAAATGATATTTTCCCTTTATTTTCTCCCAGGAACTTACTTGGCTGGTATTTTAAGGTATACTCAGTCAAAATGCCATTCGGATGGCTTGGTGGGTCCCATTCCAAAGTGAGAGAGTCTAGGGTTGGATTAACAATCTTCAAAGAGGACGGGGCACTGGGGACTTATAAAGAGAACATGGAGTCAATACAAAGGTTTTTGAATATTTCAAAATGTATTAAAATGACGTATTTCACTATATTTACACAATTCATCAAAATTTTTGTTTTTCTTAGCACATTCTTGTTCCTGATTCAGCTAAAAATAAATAAATAGAAATCTGTGACAGGTATCCATTTAATTATTCTCTTCCTCTTTCTTTCTCACCATTTCCATTAGATTCATTAAAACCATCCTCTCAAAATACGAAAAGACTTTGCCTTTATACAGACTCAAACCAATATTTTAAAAAGAGACAGTACTTATTTGTTTCATGAATGATGATTAATAAAAGTAAACTAGTAACTAAGTGAAACTATTCTAACCAGACCTTTGAGTAGAGAAGCAGCTGTGTTCTGGGCTATTAAGGGCTGTTTTCCCCCAACAAACCAGGTGTCTCCAAACAGTCGGAGCATCCTGCCTGCTGGGCTCTGGGCATGAGCCAGCCTGCCCAGGTGCAGAGCACTTCTCATCCGGAGAGGTGAGCTGACAGATGTCCAGCATCTCATGGTGATGGAGAAAAGCCCCAGTGCTGGCAAACCCCCGGCTCTGCAAAGGCCTGCAGGGTGTCAGGTTTTCTATGAGAGAGGCTGGCAAGTTACTAGAGGGGACATGCCTGGGCTTCTTTTATTCACTCCTTAAAAAAGGATGATGGATGGTAGCAGCTCTCGCTCACGATCGTTACCGCCTCTACCCAACCTACCATATTCCCTAGATCCACCAATGGCACCACTGTCCCTCCTGTCACATTAGTCAGAAACCAAGGACTCAACCTAAATTTTTCCCTCTGCCTAATTTCCACCATCTCCTGGGACACTAAATCCTGTCAATTCTACTTTGTTCACCTCAACCACACCCATTCCCTCCCCTCCTCTCTGCCACCACTCCACTTCAGGCCCTCCATGGCCTTTTCCTAGGCCTAGAACAGTCCTGGCACACTGTTCAAAGCTTCCCCAAACCAATAAGTGGTTCCTAACTTTTAGAGATTACAGACCCCTTTGAGAATCTGATGACAGCCATAAACTCTCCCCAGAAAAATACACACATTTTGCATACAAGATTAGAGAGTTCACAAGCTCCTTAAACTCATTTATTGACCCCCTATGAGACTATAGCCACCAGTTAAGAGCCTCTGGCTTATAACAACCATAGCATTTAAGACCATCCATGATACGGTTCCTCTCTAGCTGACCTTCCTCTCTTTTCTCACCATCCAGTGACACAACTTACAGTTCCCTGAAGGAGTCATGCTGTTTTACACCTTTGTGTCTTCAGTCTATTTCCTCTTCTTTATCCTTAAATTCTCTGATCATCTCTTGACACCTTCCTCTATGACACTTTCCTCTGAACCATCTAAAGGATAAGTTTGAGGTCTCACTTGAGAAAGCCTCAAGTAGAAGGATCCCTTAACCTCTAAGGAACAATGAGACTGAGGACCAGCACTTGTCATGGGATGAGAGCTGGGACACAAGATGACTCTCAGGCTGTTGGGCAGCTGCCAACATTACAAGCCCTTCAACCATGAGCCAGGACATGGTATGTCTGTGAACTGCTTTTATCTAAAAGGCCTAAAGAATCCACAGAAGTTATCCAGCTCATTTTCAATCCTGGCTTGAGAAAAAATTCAAAATAGGTAAGGATGATTTTTAGTGCCTTTTAAAATCCCTATCTTTCTTACTTATGGCTCTTCTCTCCCTCATCCACTTGGCCCCCATGTCCCTGCTCCCACTGCCACATCAGTGTATATTTGATCCTCCCTTGCTCTTTCTCTTGCAGTGGCCCATATTTGCAATGACTTTTTCCTTCTCTTCCCAACCCATTTTGTCAAGATTTTCAACAGTCTAACTCAGCTCATCTTTAGCATTAACTATGAAGGTGCACTGAGAAAGAAGTAAATTATGACATAGGATTATTTTCTTTTCCAGATGTTTTTGTTAGGGTATCACATTTAGTTCTCATGCTTTTCAGGTGAGGTACCTGAGGCTTACAGAAGTTTTATAACTTGCTTCAGGTCAGGACACAAATAAATAAAAATTTTAAGTCAAGAGAGAAGGGATTTTAGGGCAGCATTTTGTGACCTGAAGCCTTCCACATATGAACTGATACTTTTCCAGCTCTGTATGTGCTGTGTTCATCTATGGAAAAATCACGTTTGGCTTCCAGAATATACTTTATTTGGGGGCCCTTATGTCATGCAAAGCCCCTCAGCATGTGCCAGATGTTGTTAGGATCTCAGGGACATGTCTACCCCATACCTCCTTCTGGAGTATTAAAGACCCTGTCGGGGCTGGCTGGGCCTTCCCCTTTCCCATTGACTACGCGGACGTTCAGTGTGTAGTGGCTAAAGGGCTCCAGCCCTGGCAACATGCCGTGGGTCTTGCTTCCCTGGAAAGTGAGGATCTTTTTCTCAATGTGGCGTCTATTTCTTTTTGATGAATTCTGTGCCTTCCAGTAGTAAATCTGAAGCAGTAAGAACAGAAGTCAGGGATGTAAAAAGAAGCAAACAAGATGAAAAGTTTACATTCTGCATGCCCGACCCCCCCCACGCCCCCCCAATTCTCTTGGTGCATTTTAGATTGCTGGAAAATCTGAGAGGTATTGATCTTGAGTAGAAGCCCACAAATGATGAGAAAAATTAAATTAAGAAGATGTGATGAAGCTGGGCTATACTATTTGTTGAGGAATATAATTGAAATAAATGAAACAGCATGAAACCCATACAGTTCTCTCTAAAAGACAAGAGAAGAATTTCAGTGTCTTACATATATAAAATATTCTAAAAATAAACATTACTGGCCAAATTTACATGTTTTTCCAGAGTTAATATAACTTCATGTATAATATATCATTTAGTTTCATTCTAAAAACCATGGTGAAGCTTTTATTATTATTATTCCTATAGTACACATGAGCCTCTGGGTTACCAAGTGACTTGCCCAAAGCCACAGGGCAACAAGAGTCACAGTGGGCTCTCTACTCTAAGTCTAGGGCTTTCTCACTAAGCCAAACTTCATCACCTAGTTAAAAGTACTTATTTTTATGTATTAAATTGTAGTTAATTAACTAATAGAGTGTTGATTAACTCTGGTTAAAAATATGTAATTATTTTATAAGTCCTCTTAAATTCTTCTTAGGAGTTTAAGGCATTTCAAGAGAAGTCAGCATATATACAGAATCTGGCAATGATAGAGAAAAAAATAAAACTGATCATGATGCAGTGTAAAAGCTCTAGGGGTCAAGGTTCACAAACCAAAGTAGTGACTTTCTTTGTGGGTGTAAAAACAGTTCTTTGACTGCCTAGCAATCTAAAATCTCTATAAACCAGTCTTTCTGTGCTTCCCAAGAACAAAGATAATTGATATTCATAATGACCCAGATGGGACTATACGATCTTAAAGTACAACCTGAAATATTAAAAAAAAAAATCTACATTATTTGTGTGTTCAATACATGTGGTCAGTACTGCTTTAAAGTTTGGTGCATTTTGTTATAATCTAGCTTTTTAAACATTAGTTTTCCCCAATTTGTGCATATGTTGTTTAGTTGGAAATGTTATATTATCTGTGGATAATATGGAGAAAACATGTTTATTTTCTCACTATTGATACAGTGAGATTTAGATTCAGCTCTAGCTGGGGTTATTTAGATGTGGCCTGCTGGAGGCAACAAACCAGATGAACTCTCAAGGCCTCTTCCAACCAAGAGAAATGCATCTGGCATTCACTGATGGCCTGATCCTAAGGAAAGAACAAGAAAGGTCTCCCTTCACTTGCCCGATAGCCTTGCAGGTGTCCTCGGATACTTTTCAGTGGTACCGGGTCCCAGCGCACCTCGGCTAAGGTACTGTTCACCACATTCACATGCACATTCCCAGGAGCCACCATTGGGACTAGAGAAAGAAGGAAATGGGGGGTGTGGGGCGGTTGAAGTATCAATGTTATTTTGAATTTCATGCAAAAAATGTCACTAATAATTTTGGCTTCATTTGAAGCATGCTTCAGCCCTATTCTATGAATTTTCAAGTATTAAGAGTAGATTTTTGATTTGTTCATTTGACTTTGTAAGAATAACATACTTTTTTTTTTTAAAGTAATAACTTTTAACATTCTGAACCTATTTTCTACATAGCAGGCTGTTTAAATTCAGAAATGTTGAACAAAATACTTGCTGCCTCTCTTCCTCCCAATCTACACACCTCTGGAAATAGACTTGGCTTATAAGCCTGTTTTGCTGGGAAAAAGTAAAAACGAAATAGCATCAGCCACTTACGGTCTTCTCCAGAATGTCCCATGACGACAGGTGGCTCTGGAGCAAACCCCACGTCATTCAGGGCTTGGACTTTGATCAGATATGGTACAAAGGTTGGCGTGCCCGAGACAATATATTTGGATACATTTGCCACAACCACAGACGTCCATTCATCATCACCATCTTTCTGGCGCCAGCTTACTTTGTATTGAAGGCCTGGCCCGTTAGATTCAAAACCATTCAAGGGCTGCAAGAGAAGCCAAATAATCAGAGCTTATAAAACAGATTGACTGAACAACCTTTTATTGGAACAGCAAAACTGACTCCCAGACTTAAAGAAAGAGAGCACTGAAACACCAAAATATGGCCCTTTTATCTTTTTTCTCATTTTTGATGAGATTCAAAGCTTATTTGGGGTAAACATTTCAAAGCTTGTTAATTTCTATAGTGAAGGAGTAAATACCACATATGCCTCTCAAACTTTGGTTCCACAGTCAAGGGTGGGTGACTTAAAACATTCAGTTATATAGGTTCCTTTATAAAGTCCTGTTTGTGTGACAGTATATCACTGTCTATTTTACTTGGAGACTAAAACTTGTGAACTGCTTTTTTATTAAAAAAAAAAAAAGAGGTTGGCTTGCACTCTACCCTGTTTCTACATGTATGTATGTATATAAGTAGGTACGAATGTGTATGAATATAAGTGTGCATGAATAGCTCTATCTAAAATAAATTTTAAAATTACACAGGTAAATATATGTTAATTTTCCAAGTTCAGGAAATACAGATCAGCCAAAAAGAAAAGCAAAGAAGTTGACTACTGGGAATAACTTGATACATGTCTTCTAAATGGTTCTCTATAATGATGATACTACTAGCTAGCATTCACTGAGCACACATATGTGCTAGGCACCTTCTAGGCCTTATGTATATATTAACTCCTTTAATTTTATGACGTTGTTTCTCTTGTTATTCCTATCATACAAACACATAGCGGAGATGTTAAACAACTGGCTTAAAGTCACGCAGTTGGTAAATGGCAAAGCTGGGATTTGCACTCATTCATTTTGGCTCCAAGGATCAAGCTTTTAACTACTACACAACACTATCCTTTAAATAAAGCAATATCGCATATATTTTTTTCCAAAATGGGTAAAATGGGAAACAAGTTTTTTTTTCAGTCTAAAATATGCTGAGGACAGTTAAAGTCTTCATACACAGCTCACCTTCCATGTAATCACCAAATTATCAGGCTCTGATCCTAGTCCTTCCACAGTTGTGGGATTTTTATCTGGTTCTAGAAGTTAAACAGCCACATGCATGTAAGCTTTAGTATTTTCCAAACAGTGGAAAACTTTTCTATTTTATTTCATATCTTAAAAGTCCTGCTTTACCTGCAGCTTTAGTCAGATACTGTTCAGATACCTCGCTGGGTAAGCTCCTCCCAAGGCTGTTCTCTGCCATCACTCGGAAGGAGTAGTTCACATAAGGTGAGAGCTTCAGCTGGGCTGTGGTCTGTGTCCCAGGAACTTCAGTTTGGTGGTGCCACAGCCCTGCCTCATGCATTGCATCTTCATATTCAATGATGAATTCTGGACACAACACACACACACACACACACACACACACACACACACACACACACAATAAACACAAGACAGTGAATTCAGTCATGCAAGGGTAGGGTGCTAGGATAACTAATAAGGCAATCTAACAGGAATAGTCAAACAGGAATTATTTCACTTTCAAGAAATATTCCATTAGAGTATTTTGATTTCAGAGTTCTATCATCATCTTTAATACTTAAGCATACCCAATAATTTCTCTAGCATGTTGAGTTTAGTTACTTAAAGCTATTTAGAAGAGATCCACGTACCCCTAGAAAAGTTTAAATATATGAAAAGATCAATTTTTTCATAACAAGTTAAATTAAATACAGTTAAATACAATTTTCCACTAAATAGACTGGCAACAATCAAAAGCTGAACATACTTTGTTGACTATGACATAAGGAAACAAGCATTCTCATTCTTTGTGGGAAGTGTAAATTGGTACAACTTTTATAGAGGACAATTTAGAATATCTAACAATATTTAACTCAGATACCCTTTGATTGAGAAATTGTACTTCTAGTAATTTATTTTGAACAAATGTACTCATGCCTATGCTCAAAAACACAGGGAAAAAATCCACATTGTAGCATTGTTCGCAGTTGAAACAACCTAATTGCAAACATCCTAAATGTTCATCAACAGGACAATGATTTAAAAATTATGGTACATCCATATAATGGCATACTCTGCTGTTGGAAAAAATGAATTGGGTTACTCCACATGCACTGAAATGGAACGATTTCTAAAACATATCATTAAGTCAAACTAAGTAAAGTATAGAACAGTGTGTGCTTGATACTACACTTGTGCAAAAATTAAAAAGGTTTATTATGACATATACAGATATGTATACACTTGAATGTACTTTATTATCTCTCGGAGGATATACACAGTACCACTGGTGTTACCAGAGGAACTAGGAATCAGGAGTGGTAGGAAGACTCACTTCTCAGTGCATAATCTCTTGCATTTACTAAAATTTTGTGGTATGTACATGTCTTATCCTTCTAAACAATAGGTGTTTAGATATTCATTAATTGCCTACTATGTGCCATGTACCATAATATGAGTTATTGATATGAACATGAACTAGAAACATGTGTTGCAGTGCCCTGAAGCTAAGTACTTAGTGTTCTCCTTCAATCTACATTAATTTGCAAGTGATCTGCAGACTCAAAAACTGATGACTTTCACATTTATATCTGCAGCCCCTGCCTTTCCTCTGAACCGCAGACTCGGATAGTTAATTGCCTACTCAACAACTCAACCTGCTTATGTATTACAGCATCTCAAATTAAATAAGAACAAGACTAATCCCCATCTTCCTCCCCAACTTCATAGTGACAACTCAGGTCCTTCTTAGCTCCTCTCCTTTCAAACTCTCAATAGTCCTGTTGGCTCTCCTTTTAAAATATATGCAAGGTGACCATTTCTCGGCACCTCCATCCCGCTTGGCCTATTCCAAGCCACCATAATCTTTGGCCTGAATTATTGCATAACCTCCTTACTCACAAATTTCCAAACTTTCTCAGTTCATGGTATACTTACTGTCTCAGTAATTTTTTTCATGGCTCCCTTAGGGCAAAAGAAATATCTAATATTTCCATGTAAATAGGTCCATATGACTTAATAGTTATGTCTTAACAACTTAAAACCTATTGGACACTGCGTAACTTCTGAAACCTTGTAAACAGATTAGATACCATCTTCCTCATTTCCTGTTCTACAATGATTTTCATGTGGTCCTTGTTTTTTTATCATAACAAAGGCTTTGCAGAGATGAGGCATCATTACAATGTGATGCATCAATATCATGTTGAAACTGTAAGCTGCCTTAAACTAATATTTCATGTGATGCTGGAGAGTTATCACTCTACTTTTTAAATATCAAAATTTACAAATCAAAAACTTAAAATATCCTGAAGCACCCAGGTGAGTTTGCTGAGGTTCTACAGGGTACTTCAATGCAGTTTGAGAATTAAGGGATGATTTTCAATAGAACAGCTAGAGTGATCCACAAATCACTCTTCCACTTAAATCCCTCCAATGACCTGCAAGTTCACACTTTACCCCCACCCACCAACTCTTTACCTCTTTGACGTTTTCTCTTACTTCACTTTCTCTTATCCATTTCACTCCAGCTACACTGGTCTCCCAGCAGACATGCCTCCTGTTTTAGGTCCTTTGCTCTTTTTCCTGCTCTGCAAGGAAAGTTCTTCCCCCAGAAATCGCACAGTGTGTTCACTTCCTCCTTTCTCACGTCTTTACTGACATACTCAAATGTTACCTTCTTAATGTGGCCTTTCCTGACTACCCTATTCATAACTATACCCCCGAACCCTATATTCCTAAACCTCCTTCTTATGCTTTGTTTTTTTTTTGCATGTTCTAAATATATGCACCATATACAGATGCACATATACAACATACACACATACAACCATGTGTATAGATATATATGTGCTTGAGTTCTCTAAGAAGCAGATGCGAAGACAGAATTAAAAGTGCAAGAGACTATTTTGGGGAAATGCCTGTAGAAGATAAAAGGGAGAGAAAGCAGGAGTAGGCAGGGAAGATTTTCAGACCATGATACAGATCTGACATCTGTGAATGGAAGGATGTGTAGGAAAAGCCTCACACTGCAGTACAAATAGTCTCAGACAGGTCAATGAGGAGCCCTAGAGTAAAGTTCTGCATTAGATGTGGCTGAGCTCTAGGTCCCTCGCTGTGCTCAGTCACTAGAATAGCTCAGGAAGAGATGGGCCTCACGTGAACACTACAGCAGATCCTTAGGGAAGGTGCAGCAGATGGAGCCTGCTATTAATACTCTTTGCAGCATGTTCTCTCTTGAAGGGAGCTCTAAGTAGTGCGTGCGTGCGTGCGTGTGTGTGTGTGTGTGTGTGTGTGTGTGTATGTGTGCCCATGTACATATATAGAAATATATAAAGACATTGTTCACAATAACATAATATATATTATTAATTTTATCTTATTTGTGTCCTCGACTAAAATATAAACTCCATACGGGCAGAGATTTTTGATTGTTTTGTTTTAGAACAATGCCTAGTACATAATAGACTCTCAATACATATCTGTTGAATGGAGTGAATAAATGAACGAGTAGGAATGCCTTGATATCTAATAGTATAATTTTAACACAGATGAAAAAAGTCTCCAAGCATCCTAACCAGCTAAGTCTGGCTAATGTGTTAACTGGAAGACTCAGCATGAATGAATGAGTGTTCTGATCATGGACACTGAACAATACTCAATTGAGAAAGGAACACTGCTAAATTATACAAACCAGAGAGGAGGGTTCCATTTAATTTCATTAGAAATATTCTGCTTTCCCAGCAGGTGTAATAAGTCAATACACACATTTCAGAATAATCTTAGGTAGTCATGAGAAAAGAATTTAGTCTTTCTGCAGTATACACCTGAAGGTAATAATATATTATAGGCTCGTGTTGCTTGAGTCTACTCTCTTAAGTATCTTTCTGATTTTAAAACTTCTAAGCTTATCTACAACCTAATTTTAGTAAGCAATTCCAGTGTCCTTTTGGCATGGTCCCACATCTGATTTTATTCCCTAGGCTTATGTCATCAAGGTGAAGAATTGATATTTGTTGGATGGGCCACGACTTTGTAGCAAAGGCTAATTGGAAGAAGGAGACTTGGGACTGGAAGTTAACAGACATGATGTCAACACCCAGTTCTGTTACCAATTGTGAATTTGAAAAATCATTTTACGCCCCGAGTCTCAATTCCCTAACAGACTGGACATCACTGCACCTGGTCCTCCTGTCCTTTTCTCCCATGTTAATGGGCAAAATGAATCTTACAATTTATTTTCCTACGATGCTAGAAATTCAAGGTGATTCTTATGGATCTTAAACACAAAATGAAAGTGTATTTGCTTAATTAACATATTCAGCAATTAATTAGCATCACATAGCAGAAACTATAACCAGGAATAACTCTAGCTCTGAAGAAAAGAGAGCCATAAATAAATGTTTTCCATAAGTAATGATGCAGAGAATGCCAGTAAATATCTCTGTAAGGAATTTCTATTGCATATGATAAAATATTTCAAATGGTCATTAAGTTTATCAGTGATAAAGCAAATGACACCACATACTTGTAATAGGGCTATTGTTATCATCGCCTGGTGTCCATGACAGCTGAACACTTTTGTCGAGTTGATCTGTCAATTCTAAATCAAAGGGAGGATTTGGGACATCTGTAGACCAAACAGACACATCATAATTAACCATCCATCCTTATGAGGTTCTCCTTTACTTGTGACACTACTCACAGAGGTCATATGTTAAAGACATAGCACATATATTAAAGACATAGCACACTCAATAAGCATGCAACTGAAATGAAATGGAAACCACTGAGGTTGCTGGGAACACACGAACACACCCAAGACAACCCATCAATGAGTTCTGCTTGCTTTTTTTTCAAATGAAACTAAATCATTTCCAACAAAAACTAGTGAAGTGGGTATGGATGGTTCACCAGCATGCTCAGTATATGTCTTCTCATAAACATGAATGAGCACAGACAAAAAAAATAATATCAAAGCTTAATTTCTAATAAATGAGAAACAGAATAGTAAATGCCGAAAAACAAATACAGGCAAATACATATATTGTTTAAAGAAGACTCAAATGCTCTTTCTAAAACATGCTAACTTATGGACTTAGGGGTTCCTGAAGAATATTAATATTTTTAAGGGAATTCTAAAATTGATGCTATATAGGTAGCATCAATTTTACTGAGGCGGCCCTCAGTAAGCATACCTTATGCAGATGCTCAGTGTAGTAGTCAGTTAGGCACATGAGGAGGTGTGCTTACTCTCAGAGGACACCAAGGTACAGTCATGTTTTGAGATAAAGGTGTCCCAGAAGCACATCTGCCTCTTCTAATGGTGCTTCTGAGATCCAGAGAGTTAATGTTCCTCTATGGGCTTTTTCCTGACCTTGCTCATGGGGGTAACTGTGGTTCTTGGAAGATCAGAGGCCATATAAAAATATAGATACTTCTTTCCTATCAGTAAAGAAGCAATAAATGTCTATATAGGACAGGGATTCCATAGTATAATTAAAGATACTATGTAAAATCCAGCTGAATTTATGCCACGAAATTAATTTATATATTTATATGCTTAATAAAGATGAGAGTTCTTTAATAAAAAAATTTTTGGAAATAATTTCTGACTTATTTTCCAGACTCAGAAAATCACACAAATTGAAAGTGCCCTCTTTTTGTTTTTTCTTTAGTGATTTATCTTTTGTTAACATACAGTGAGTTGGTTTTCTCTGATACAAAGGTTGAATGTTGTTCTAAACATCCGCTGCTTTCCAATGTAAATTTCTTGAAACTGGAATCCCAAAACAACATTTATTTTTCCAAAATAACTCTTAATATACTGAAATAAAAATCTAATTGTGTAATATTTGAAATAACTTTTACATTCTGTAAAATGTGGATGATAGCTTTTGAAAAAACGCTATCCTACTTTACAAGGAAATTATATCAAAGAGGGACTCTTATCAAATGAAATGACTTTATAATAACGCATGAAATATTTAGAAAAGAGTGACAATATATTCAGTGAGAAGTTCCAGAGTTATAATGAAGAAATGATTTATAGCAGTAAGGGAGCAACACAACAGAACATTTGACAGAGCCCCTTTCCTTAAAGAAACATGATGATGTGATAGAGAAAAGAAAGTAATTCTGCAAATGTGAAATTGTTTGACAGAAAATAGAGAAAGAAGTCTCATTAGTTTACCGTAAATGGGAGCTGGAGTTGGAGTGGGAGCTAGAAAGGACATTAATATAAAGGATTTTAATCACAATTAGTAATGGAAAGATATAAGATAGCACAGAAGACAAAGACTGAACATGATTAAGGTTATAAACTAAGCCTCATGCTTAGCTGTGAGACAAGGCATTGATAAACAGGCGGTAACAGGTTAGGGCAGGGGTCCCCAACTCCTGGGCCATAGACCGGCCTGTTTGAAACCAGGTCGCATAGCAAGAGGTGAGCAGCCTCTCCCCAGCGCTAGCTTCACCGCCTCAGCTCCATCTCAAATTACCAGGCATTAGATTCTCATAGGAGCACAAGTCCTTGGTGCCAAAAGGGTTGGGGACCACTGAGGGGGAAAGCCTTCAAATTTAAATAAAAGCAGATTATTTTCCCAAATTTTCTTATAAAATATCACTAATATGCATAACCAATATTTTATTCCAGTGCTGCTACAGAGTATATTTATATTGAAATTATACCTCACAGGCATCTTTCAAAGAAGAAAAATGTAGGTACTTAACTCATCTATAAAACTGTAAAACTATAACAAGCAAACAATTACTATCGACAATTTTTCCTTTCAACCTAAAACAGGGCAGCCAGTTACTCTGTGTGTGTTCTAGTTCTTACCAACAACACTAAGCACGGCACTGGCAGAAACGTTGTCCAGAGTTGTATTAGCCACACATGTGTAGGTCCCACCGTCATCATCACTTACATCGGCTATCACCAAATGGTCCTTGTCAACAGTGAACCTGTGAATAAAACACATTCAGAGCACATTCAAATTGAAATGGACATCCAATTACATCTGATGTTTGCTTTACTGGCATGAAAGAAACTGTGAATTTGATAAAAGAGAAAGATGATGAAGATTTGTAGCACATTAGATCTTTGATAAAAGAGAAAGATGATGACTTGCAGCGCACATTACATAAGATTTAATAATTTGAAAATGAATTAGAACCTTGAATTAGAAGGGCTGTCAAGTCATCTGGTCCAGTGGCAATGAACCACGCCTCTGGAGTTTTTGGAGCTTCTTTAGAGACCCAGAAGCATCCAGAGGTGAGGTGGGGCAGCTCTGGTTACCTTACTAGAGGGCTTACCTACTGCTTCTGCTGCTAAGAAACACCTGAACATTACTTATCCAGCTCAATGTCTAACAAAAGTGTATATTTTAAAATAATTTACTATTTACTGCAGAAATTTTGTGTCATTTTTGCCACATGCATAAATGCTCTTGGAGAAAGTAAATGCAAAGAATGGTAATCAGCTTTATCACTAGAAACAGGAAGATTTAGATTAGCAATCACAACAAAAAGTTTTCTAGAGGTTACTTGTGGGCATGAAACATCACTTAGTAGGTCAAATCCATGTAAACAGGATTCATGCAAGGTTTTAACAAGGCTGCATAAGTCATTTACTGTCTTCTCAGGGAATTTCCAAGTTAAAGTGTTAACCAACTTAACCCAAAGATCATTTCCTCATATTTCCTTCTCATCTTTATCAACTCAGATTCCACAAATAAAACTGAACAGTTGAAGCATAGACTAGATGGACACTCTGGGCATAAAGAGAAGGGTATGTAGTTCTCTTGGGGGCTATTAACAAGGAACAGGGCACCATTTAGGTATGGTGCAAGCAAACCACAGAAATCGCCAGTGCACAGTATTCCTTCCAAGAGGGGGTGATGCTTGAAACTGCCCGAAGCTAAAGTTCATATCTTCAACCCTATGTACTTTGTTAAATTGAGGGCCACACGTAGAAAATAGATACTATCTTTCTTCCATTCTAAGCTGCAGGACTGCAACATGCTCAGACTCTTTTAAATGCTTTTTAAAATTCTTTCTTCTCTTTTTACTGGCTTTAAGTAAAATCAAAAGAAAACTCCCTATCCAAATAAAAACCAGTGTCCTTTAAAATAGTGACAAGGATTCAGATGCACTCTGGTGATTAAAGAGATCATATTTCTGCTTATTTGTAGAATGGTAATGAAAATATCAGCTGAGTTCTCACTGTACAAGGCAGAAAAACAATGGATGTTGTCCAAGGCCTGAAAGGAGACCAACACACAATGATAGACAAACATTCTCAGGGTCTTATTTCAATAACTTGATACCATTTTAGGTACGAACATGTTACAGCAGGGAGAAAATGCATATCTATTTTGGAGACTTTAGAAACTTTAAAAACACCACAGTCAGTCACTCTACAATAGACCTTTATTTCAATAGCAGCTTAAAGAAAGAAAGAAGAGAGGAAAGGAATCGTCTTCAAATACCTTCCATCATTGGGCAGCTCACCGTTGTCCTTCAGCCATGTGACAGTGGGGATTAAGGTGTGATCGTGTTTTACTCTGCATTCAAAGGACACTGTGCTGCCTCTTTGCACAATTGCATATTCAGGCTGTTTAATGATCCTAGTTGGATCTGGAATTTAAAGTAATTGTTATCCATTGTCAAAGCTGGAGAATTTGCTCAAAGTTACATAATTCTTGAAAATATTTTGCCCTACCTTTGATTTCTAAGCGAACTTCATTCTTTGCCATTCCTAACTTATTCCTTGCAACACATGTATAACTTCCTGTACTGTCCTTTTGGGCCACAGGAATTTCCAAAGTTCCATTTTCGTGTAAAACATAAATATCTTCACGAAGAGCACTACCTTTAGCTCCTTTAAACCTTCATTATGGAAATAATCATAATGAGAAATAAAACACATCATAATTTGAAGTCAGACATAAATTATCACGTTCAAGGTCAACACACCATGATCTGCATTGTAGTATCCAGTTCAGAGATGAGAATCTGCACAAGCATATTGCATGCTTATAAGTCACAGGAGTAAACATAAAGACAGGATGTAAAACTGGTGAATACAATGATAAATGACACTTGAAGAATTAGGATGACAATACAAAATATTTATATTGTAATTTTCATTATAAGAGATTCATAATTTAAGAAACACATTATTATGTATTCTATCTCTAAAGAAGTGATAAAATAGGCAAAATGAAGACTGCCCTTTTGACATTTCCTTCCCTACTGTGATGTATTTGTAATTCCATCTGCAGGCTACAATTCTAGAGATTTTGATTTATAGGTTACAAGGATTGTACTTTTGAAAGTATGAATAGGAAAATATTCAGTGGAGAAAAAAATAAAGCATGTATATAAATCATATGTACCTTCAGCTTCTTGGTGTCAGAGAGGAAAAGTGTGGATGGATGAAAAGAGGTGAAGGTAAGTCAAGCTGGACTAAATGTTAACCTGCCATCTTCACTAGGAAATCATCTGCACAAGCATCCATACTTCTCTTCTCTTGGTTGAACTGGTGACCTGGGGAGATTATCCTTTAATCCTATACCCATCTTTAATCTCACATCAGTAGGTAGAGCCCTGCACAGTGTCTGGAACCTAACAGATGATCAACAAATGAATGTTCTAATTTTCTTTCACTCATTCTTTCTGAGCTGTTGCCTATGCTAGCCTTGTTTCTTTCAGCTCTTGCTAAAGTAAGCAAGCTAGGAGGATGAATAGAACTTATACCAGGAGTGTCATATGAAAGAGGATGGTCTAAAGTTGAGAATAAAAGGGCACAAGAGAGTTTGATGGATCCAAGTCAGAAAGTTCAGGTGGAAAGGTACTACATAAAGGTAAAGACTAGTCATAACATTTTCTGGTTTTGAGCTTACAGAACCTCTCTTCTACCCCAAATGATATTTTATTATCAAGGAATGCCCCCCACCCAATCCTTTCAGCCACCATTCATGAAGTCCATGGCACTGTAAAATACAGCAATCTTAAATATTTTCAAAAACACTTACATACATTTCTGTGGTAGACGAAGTGTGCTGCTAAATAGATTATTCATGTTAAAGTAGCTAATAAATATTTGTGAAAAATTTAATAATTAATATGTGATAGATTCTGCACTGCCTTTCCCCTATCTGTTCCCTGACTAAAACCCAACATATTGAGCAATTTGAAGGCTTTAGCAATTGTAAATATTAAAAAAAAAAAAAAAGAGTGAATACTTACCACTCAATGGTAGGCAGAGGAGACCCAAAGAAGGCACAGTCTAGTAAAGCAGGCCTGTTTGCAATGACCTGATAGAGTGTGTTTGCAGATGTAAGGATTCGTGGTGGCTCAGCTAAAAACATTTTTAAAAGTCAAAGTAAATATTAAAATAAACATTTAGGTATTTTATTGCATTTTGTTTCAAGGCCATTAGAGTTTATGGTAAAGCACAACCAATATGTCTCTGCCCTTATGTTCTCTAAAGGTAGAAAAATACAATTTTTCTCCCTCTGCCTCATGCTCCACATCTTATTCGGGCATAATATTTTAGTAATTGATTTATTATACTGTGAGTCTCTGTAGGGCAGGGAATGGGACTCTTATTGTTTCCCAGAAAGTAGCACAGTACCTGGCACAAAAATCATGGCTAAGTATATTTTTGTTGAGTGACTGGCCCGTCATAACCCTAGGGTTATGATGGGGATGGGTAGGTAGGAGTGGTGAAAAACACACAAGCAGAAAAAAGCAGAGAGCTGATGACTAAAAAACAGAACCAGAAATAAAAACTGCTTCCTAAACATCCACTGATATCTTAACTGCTCAGCTCTTCTTTTGATTTGTTGATCATTTTAAGGATGAAAGAAAAATATCAAGTATTGGTTAGCTTATTGACTTTAATTTTGTTTGCAAGGGAGCCTACTACACTTGAAGAGTTGAAATATAATTCCCTGGTACCATAAAAAATTCTCACATAAAATTTCACCAAATTTGTTATTTTGGTAGTTTTGTTCATAATGAGAAATACAATGTTCACATAAACCAACTGTTTTAGAATATGTTTCAGTATGTCACAGCTTTCTAAACACATTATTATAAATTAATAAATAAATGCATATCTGTGACTTGGATAAAAGCCAAACATTATGATTAGTGATTTATTGTAAAAATATCACAATCATGAGACTGTTACTGAACTTGTCGGTTCCCAAGAATGGAACAGCAGTGCATTCCGTTATTAATGGCAGAACGATGCTATTTTCCTATTCAGGGGTTTGACACTTGGTCTACCCATCTATGAATGGAGCAGACTATTTGATTACTTCTACAATGAAGAATTTCCCATTATAAAAACTGTGTTATGAAAGAACATTAAGAGCAGACTGTAACACTCTTTAGGGCAAGATTTGTATCTTATCCATCTTCTCATATCCCTTAGAACTCCAAGAACTGTGCATTGTACCTAGTAGATCCTCAGTACATTTTTCCTGAATGAATGGAAATTAACAGAAGTCATTATTTTAATTTGCCATGTTTTTAATAAAGAAAGAGCTTACCCAGCACATTTACAAATGCATTTGCCAGTAAATATCCATACTCATTAGAGGCGTTGCACTGATACACCGCACTGGATCTTTCTTGAACATTTGAAAAAATAATTGTATCACCATCTATTTTTCTGCTGGGGTCGTCAGGGGCAACTGTTTGGGTGTAAAAAAAGTATATATGTATTCTTTTTTGCTTAGAAGATGTAAAGCGTGAGGTTTATGTTATAGTAAGCAGAAGAGAAATACAGACTGATCTAGGTATATCCAATAAGTAGGACAAGACCAAGAACCCAGGCAGAAGCCATAATTTTTCTGCCTCAGAATTTAGTTATCACTTTATAACTAAATTATATGCTTGATATTCATTTAGTCTTAAGTGGATTGATTCTGTAAGACTGAATATTATTCTGAGAGATGTAAGAACAGTAAAGCACAAGTTAGGTGAAAATTGCAATATTCAGGAAAACATTGCCTTATTCACATAGAAACCATGATTATTTATGAAGAGAGAAGTTAATTATCAAGATCAGACAGAAAAAGCTAGTCAAAAAATAGCTCATCCAAATTTGTATTTAAGAGTCTCTTATTGAAATTACTAGATAAATAAATAAGTAAACATATATGGGACTATTAATCAAATGTGAATATATTTATATTCCTGCGTTGGAAATTCCTGAGGCTGATATAGAAATAAATTGTGTAAAATTTCTCTTAAAAAATGTTGAGACCAGGATTGATCCTTACTGAAGTGGAATGGAACTGGTTGAGTAATATAATATGAGAATTTAGCCCAAGGCATGCCCAATAATTTGAAGTGCTGTGTGCTACTGAAGATAAATTCCTTTTTCTGAATGCTAATCTTGAAGCTGTGACCTTACATTGCTTTAAAAGTACACTAAAAGGGATAATAGGTATCTGTCTCAGCATGCTGATCAAAATCAAAACTAAATAACAGCAACAGCACCCTTTCTCTTAAACTGCTTTTGGAACTTGAACCACTTAAGTAGACTTTCATTCTAACCACCATTTTTTCTCTTTAATAAGAGGGAAAGTATATGCATCTAAGACATAATTTATAGATTTATTTAGACTGTATTTAGACTCTTTTATCACTTTAAAATCTCAACTATTCAGTTCACCTGTGATTTATTAACTCATTATAATAAAAATAAACCAAACTATAGTTATTCATCCTTGTTTTATTACACATATTCAAAGTATTACACTCCTTCATTCTACATTAGTTTTTTACTGATCCTGTAACAAGTTACTACAAACTTGGTGGCTTATAACCACACAAATTTACTGTCATACAGTTCTGTATATAGTTATTCAACACTCTGATACAACCAATAGCTAATTTATGAAATTATCTTATATATCACAGTTAGTTCAACTAGAGATAAGGGTATGCCAAGATACTTTGAGTTGGCTTCTTAGTTCACATCTGCTGTTTATGACTCTAATATTTCCAAAATTATCTTAGGGAACATGTTCTTCCAACCAGGAGACAAATGTAAGTTCTAATTCCTTTAATTCCTTCTTAGCACTTTTGGATCCGGCACTTGGGCATTCAGTATTGAGACTCCTCAGGGGACTCTCAGTGACCCCTATGTATCTATTCTGACTGTGTCTCTGTGGACATGCAAGGCAGTCGAGGGCTGGGAGCGAGTGATAGGCATTTGCGACAGTGATGAGGCCTGGGGAAAGCTCTGGGCTGGATCTCTCTGGATGGCTAGCAGATTGAGTGAGAAGAGCTCTTCAAATTCCTTTGGTATATTGAGATCTTAAAAGATATACCACCTTGTGTTGTTTAATGAGTATAAAGCTCCAGTTCTGCAATTAAATAGTTCTGGAGATCTCTTTCACAATGTGAATATAGTTAATACTACTTGACTTCACACTTAAAAATGGTTAACATGGTAAACTTTATGTTACGTGTTTTTTAACCACAATAAAAAGAAGTTACACCACTATGAACATGGAAGACCAGCTCAAAGAACAAAGCCATTAGGACAATCTTCCCCCAGTGGAGACTCATTAATCACTACATAAACCATTTAAAAAAGGTTTTATGTAGGCTTCTGGTCAAGATGGAGGAATAGGTAAATGCTGCATTTGCCTCCTTTCATGACCACATTGAAATGACAACTAAACTACAGAACAACCATCATTCAGAAGCACCTCAAGTCTAGCCGAACAGAAGTCCTACAACTAAGAACACACAGAAAAAGCCACCTCGGGACTGGTAGGTGGGGCAAAGACAAGGAATGGGATGGTCCCAAAATCACGTGCGGCGGTTAAAAATCGGGAAGAATATCTCAGCTGTGTAGGTCCCCTCAGAGCAGCAAGGAGTCCTGATCCCACACCGGACTCCCCAGCCGAGGGTTCCAGTGCTGGAGAGAGAAGTCCTCACAATTTCTGACTGTGAAACCCAGCAGAGATTGTGGCTGAGTGAGATGAAGAGCAGCCAGAGTCCCACATGTTCCTCTTAAAGGGCCTGCACAAAGACATACTCGCTGACAGACTTGTTTTGAGCTCAAGAACTACAGCAGCAGCTTGAAAGCCAACAGAGACATACAGGAGGAACTGAATTGTCTGGATTCAGGGTGAGGGATGCAGGGGCAGCTTTCTCCCAGACAAAAGTGCTGGCAGAATCCATTATTTCTTTGTTTAGCTTTTACATTTATAGAGTGCTATCAATTTTTAAAATATTTCTATATCTGTTGCATTATTTTATTTTAAAAATAATTTTGTGAAATAGATTAGATAGTATATCATTTTGGAGATGAGAAACTAGAGACTAGAGCACTTAATGGTTTGTTTAACGTGAAATTAATGCTCAGATTTTCTGAATTAGTCTACTTCATAAATATCTTTGAAATCTAAACATTTGGGCATAATGTAGAACAAATCTCTAGGTGAAGAGATGAATTTTCCTCTTCATCTACTTATTTTCTCGCCTATAAGGGAGTACCAACTGAATCCTTTACTTTTGAGAAAAGGAAGTAGGAAGATGCTTTGGAATGCTGGGAAGATCCTGGTCCGTGCCTCTATTTCTCCTGGCTGCTTATCATGTGATATTGGTTTTCAATCGCTCGCTGTAATGTCAGCAATATATGTAATCATGGCAGGAGGTGATCTTCTGTCTATTCTTATTCCCTTTGTTCCTTTTCCTCCTCATCTCTTGAAGAAAAGAAATCTTTTAACATAATGGTGTGATCTTACAAACACTCCATGGGGAAGGATCTGAGATCTACCACAACTCACAAGGGGAACGTTTAGGCTCTTCTGCTGCCTTCTATGACAGGGATGGGAACCATGGTGTCCATGGTCTTGGCCTTGGATGTTTTCTTTCATGTCCTGGGTTCTACTTCCACACCTTCCCAGACACTGTGATCACACAGTACAATCAAAGTTCTCTTTCGGCACCAGCTCTCTGCAGCTCTGTTTATTTCCTGACTTTTGTAGGTTGTTTAAAAAACATATTAGGTGGTTTTGGGCAAATTCCATATTTAATACAGTCTGTTCTTCGCTTCAAGAAAAGTTTAAAGTAACCTGGCCAGTCTTGGGGGAGACAGAGCTGTGGAAGACATTGATAGAGCCCAGTTTTTGAGTTAATTCTCCTAGTTTTGTAAAACAGTAGGTTCCAGGTCTAAAATGCAAACTCACAAATCAATAACACTGTATTTTGCTAACAAAACCCAAGTCTTATCCCTCTCTCTCCCTGATCTTGCTCCTGTTTTCATAGTATTTATTTGCACTTGGCAGCCAGAGCCTGCAGAGATAGGAAGAGTGTCAATGTCCTTAGGTGACTGCCCACCAGTCAGGTATGGAGAGGCTATGTATCTGGTAGTATGGTCCCCTGATAGTATCTTTGTTGTGTGGCACCTGGTGAAGATTTAAGGCACCTGGTGGGGATGCTACAAAGGGAGAGCTGTTCTCTGCTCTACCCTCAGCAGCTGGTCCACCCAAGGTTTCTGCAGGCTCAGGTGAAATGTGTTGACAGCAAGCCAGCTTGTGCTCCCAGCTAACTTCTGGGGCCCAGTCTAGGTCCCCTTGAAGGTTAGAAATCCTTACCATGCTAATTTTGTGCCACTGTATATTGCAGCAGACTTTGCTCTCTCTTGCCTACCCCTGCCTCTCTGCCATCCTCTCAGCACCCATCATTGCTGGATGCAGCTGTGGGGTGCACAACTCAGCACACTGTGGATGACAAACAATCCCCTCTTTCCAAGATAGTCCCAAACTTTGAAGGCAATTCTGTTTAGGGTCCTCCAAATTCATGGGGCAACTATCAAGCAGGGTAAAAAGGGGAGAGGCACAAGGCTCCTCGAACTTCTACCAATTTTTTGACAGTTTTGTTCCTCATTTACTCCTTATGTGGGATCAGGGGAGGTCAACACAAAATGAAGGAATGTAGGGTTCACTTCGAACTTAGCTGTTTATGACTTAGTGTCTAGTCAAGGAACTATTCAGCAGAAGTTGCAGATGGACCAGCCACTGAGGGCGGGGGCAGGAAACAGCAATGTCCTTGTAGTATCTTTGTGTAGAGAGTTATGATGATTCTTGCCAGGTGCCTAAAGCTTATCACCTTTTAGTTATGAGATTCCAAACAGCAATCCATACACATTTAGCTTGGCCACCAAAGCTGAAGAAAGACACCTTTCAGAGATGCTTTACATGACCTTGGTGTAAACATATAGCACCTGCTCCTGGCACCATGGGGTGGGCAGCTAGCCAGGCCAGGGCCCTTTTCTACCACATGGTGTTTCTTTCCTTGCTTGTCCATCAAAGTGGCAGCTCTGAGGCACACCAGACTTCAAGGGACCCTAGATCTGTAGGCACTGTAGAATTCTGATCCTATCTTTGCTCAGCCTCTTATTTTCCTTCCAGTGGCAACTTAACAAATACTTTTGGGATAGAAGAAATGAACTTTATTTGGAACCTGATTTGAGAGATTTTGTTCTAACTCTTTCTGCTCTGTACCTAATCAAGTGACATGGGGTTATAGTAGAAGGGCCTAACTTGTCTCCTGGGACCACTGTCCTGTGCTGCCTCTCGCCAAAAAAAAAAATCAGGCCTTTTGCAGTTGATCCTCCCCCAAAATATTTCGTTTAATGGAGAGTATCTATGAGTGCATTTTCAAAGATCTTAATATAACTGGAGTTACAAGGTTCCCTGAAAGTCACTGCCAATGCTGGGTTTGGAAGGGCAACAAGCCAAGCAAATCAGGAGGAAAGATCAGCTTCATTATTTAGTATCCTCTTGTTCTTATGTCACTGACCCACCTCCATCTCAATTTTCTCTGCTTATGATTGCGTTTTGGCTGCCAGCTTGAGGATTTATCTTTTCAACATTCCCTGCATCCCTGGTTTTCTCACTGAGTGGCTAGATGGATGGCCCCTCCCACTTAGTTTCAGTGAAGTCAGATCTCAGGTGCAGTTAACCTTCTATAAATGGGCACAGAACCTCTGAGCTGCAAAATGTGGTGCCAAAGTGCTGAGCACGCTCCACACTTTACTGCCATTCAGTATGCATTCCTAAGAAAATCAGATATCGTACCATAAATTTGTTTGTGTCACACAGTAGTTGTCAGATATAGTTATGTGCCCCATAATGACATTTCAGTTAATGGTGGACCACATACACAGCAGTGGGATACCATATAGCCTAGGTGTGTAGTAGGCTATACCATCTAGGTTTGTGGAGGTGCACTCTATGAGTTCTGGGCTTTCTTCCACTTTTTCTCTCTGCTTTCACTCATATGCCTCTGCGAGTGGGAGTAGCTTCTTCATGCACAACCATAAAGTGCTCTCTGCAGGTCTTCTTGATCTTGATCATTGTTAAAACTGGGAATGGAGATATCCAAACCCCACTTGCTGGCCTGTTTAGAATCTGCTTCCTCCCTGGAGCATATTTCCTTTTTCAGTAAACACAGGCTGTTGGTTTCAGAGTACAGTCATGCAATGCTTAATGACAGAGATATGTTCTGAAAAATGTGTCATTACGTCATTTTGTCATCATGCAAACATCACAGAGTGCACTTCCATAAACACGGATGGTATAGCCTACTACACATCTAGGCTATATGGTATCCCACTGCTGTGTATGTGGTCCGCTATTGACCTAAATGTCATTATAGGGCACATGACTATATCTGACAACTATTGTGTGACACAAACAAACTACTAATAAATATCCACAAAACAGGGTGTTCTTACTCAGTCTAGACACGCGGTTGTACAACCTTGATGGTGAGAAACAAAGACTTGGGCCATTTCAAATTTGCCAACAGTTTTCAGATTCATCTTAAGGTGAAGACATTTCAGGAAAGCCAGTTAGTTTAATGAAACTTTTGGTTATGTAAAAGTAGAACCAATTTTTGATTCTGACTTGGAGGCAATGAGGATCCAAGCTGCTCCACATCATAAACCTGAAGGTTGCCTTTATTGTGAGTAAAGAATATCTTTGCAGATTACTATGTTATTGACTGGGAGGGTGAGCCTGAGGCTGGGTTTTAAACAGAAACTGATTTTCTCTCTCTGTGGGTCTAAGAGAATATTTGAACTCTAAGAAGGAGGAAATGTTCCAAGATTCTCCTGTGCGCAGCAGCTGGTAGTTGCTGGAGTTGGGAAAAAGAGTAGCCACAGGGCTCTCTGTGGATGGCCATGGCTTGGGAATCTGGGGACAGAGAGGTGCAATATCCATATTCAGTTTTTTTTCTTTGTTATAATTCTCTTCTGCCTTTAACTAAGTTTTGTAAAACTAGTCTTTGCTGCGGCCACACTTTGGGCAATAAAATGGCAGTCTGGAGCAGCTGGTTGAGAAAGAAATGGCAGAAATCCAAGGAAGATGGCAGAAGAAGTGACACGCAGCAGCCAGGACTGTGTAAGAATTGCTCCAGGATAATCTTAGCAATACCCTGGGATGGAAACTGGTCAAAGATCAAATTTCCTGCATACGACTGGGGTGGGAGGATGTGTTCTTCTTTGGGCATTAAATAGGACAGTGACCTCTGAAGCCTGGAGAACATGGGAACATCTTAAATTAAGACAGCTATGTTTCTTATTCCTGTCATAGCCACTGGCTCTATTCCTAGCCCCATCTCCTCTGACTTCTATGATGTTTCCACAAACCACTTCACATTTTGAACAAATAATCTGAAATTTTCAGTGATGTTTATTTCTGACCCTGTCATTCTTCCTATGATCCATGTAAAAAAGGAAGAAAATATTCGCAAGTCCCAATCAACACATACCATTATGTTAATAGTACAAAATATTCAGTCATAATAAACTTCTAAAGGTAATAAGATAAAAATCTAAAGGTTATTTGATATCTCTGTTTAATTTATACATGGCTTGCTTCCTTAACTCAAATTATTTTTATCTGTTAAGATGTAGTTATGCTCTGCAAATATACTTGAACCAGACAAGGAAACTTACTTTCTATTGGGACTCCATTCAATAACCAGCTAATTCTGGGTTTGGGGATGCCATTAGCTCTGCAGATTAGTGCCCCATCCTCTCCTGGGGACAGCACAAGATTTTGAGGTGCCATAATCCAGTATGGAGCCGCTTTATTGAGGAAAAGAAAAAAACCAAAAATTTGAATCAAATAAGTATTTTAGCAAACTTAGTATATTAAACTATTTTAATAATAAAAAGGAATATTTTTCAAAACATTTGTTAGTTTAATTTTTCTAGAGTGAATACGTTTATAAGTAATGCTTCAAAGAATATTTCAGATTTTCAAGAGAATGCTTAAAGAAGCTCACTGACATATATGTATTATTTCTAGACCTTTTTGATAGAAATAGCATCATCTTATTTTACATTAAAGTAATCAGACATCAAGAGGTGACCGATTTATCTGAAATTGTAGAGTAATTTATAGGTAGGGCTAAAACACATGAATTCAAATTCTGAGCTCCATAGAATATATGTAATTATAAAATCAGGAGGCAATTTTTAAAACTTTGCATTTTAGAAAAGTTGGAAAGTTAGTATAGAGTGTTCCCATAAGCCCTTCACCCACCTTTCTCTAATGTTAACATCTTACATAACAACGGAACAGTTATTAAAACCAGAAATTAACACTGATAACACCATGAACTAAACTACACACTGTATTAGGACTTCCCAAGTTTTTCCACTAATGTCTTATTTCTGCCCCAGGACCTTGTCCTGAACACCATACTGTGTTTATTTGTCACATCTCCTTACTTAGTTTCCTCTAATCCTACAGCTTCTGGATCTTTATCTTTCATGACCTTGAGACTTTTAAAGGGTACTGATCAGTTATTTTGTAGAACATGTTTTGACTTGGGTTTGTCTGTTTTCTTATGATTAGACTGAGGTTTTGGGTGACGAACCCTTCTGATTACATTGTGTCAGGGAGTGCATGTTATCAACATTACCTACTACTGGTTATGTTAATCTGATCACTTTGCCAGGCTTCTCCACTGTAAAGTTACTATTTTCCTGCTTTCCATACCCCATTAGAAGCAAGTCACTAAGTTCAGTCCACACTCAAGGGTAGAGAAAGTAAGCTCCATCTCCTTAATGGAGGAATAGTAAAGAATGTGTGGACATATGTTGAAACTACCTCAGGAATTAATTTTTTTAGGGGAGGGGAGAACAAATACTTTGAGGCTATGCCAATATCCTGTTTCTTCTTAAGGTTTATCCACTAATTTTAGCATTCATCACTGGCTTTTGCCTGCAGCAGTTAGAACTGAGGGATTCTAATGGTAATTTTCTATTTCCCTCATTCTTTTTACATTTTTTAATTGGAATCTTCTGTAAGGAAGAGTTGAGGGAGTGAATTTTTAAACTGATTTAGATGCACTAGAAACAGCAATGAGAAGAGATTCAAGGTATCATGAACATTGAAATAAATTTACATTTATTATTATTGAAGAATGTAATCAAATGCACGCTAACTGAATGTTTAATGCTTTTCATGAAGGCAAGAGCAATGCATTTTAAACAATGATATACCTTTAACTGTGACAGAAATGGTATGATAGATAGCTCCTAATGCATTTTTTGCTATACATTGGTAATTTCCAGAGTCTGCTTCTGAAACCTGAATGATCTGCAGAGTTTTCTGAAAGTTCCTATAAAATGTCCGGTTGATGGGTAGTGTTCCATCTTCTTTTATCCAGTAAATAATGGGGGTAGGCCTGATAAGATAAATAATGATGTTATAAAAAAAAAGTTCACCCAACTGCTTCTGAGGATAATTTTTTTTTGCACGTTTATAACAAATTCTTTATATAAAGATCACGAGAAATATAGAGATACTTTAACTAGCATCACACTTTTATAAATAACCTTATATTTACGGCTGTAAGCTACCATTTTCACATAATCAGAACTATACCAATTTATGGTACACCATAAACTTTGACTTCAGTGATGCAGTGAGAATGCTTGCATGAGTTCCTTGACTGAAGGGACCTAGTTATTTTCCTCAAAGTTCTGATCAATGAGGCACTTGGAAAATTTTACATAAAGGTACTATGTCAATCAAAAGAAATACCATGAAATTAATGATATTGAGTTATAATTTTTTATCAACTAGAGTTAAAAATGCACAGAGAAAGAGGTGATATACATATTTGTGCTCATGAATTTTTGTACATATTTCCATATCAAATTGAAGAACTTTTCTATTTCATAGCAGGCTATCTAATAATGTAAATGAAGTGATTAGAGAAATAGCACTCTTTTCCTTAATCTCATTATCAGTGGCAAAATACTATGCCAATTGGTAAGAATAGATCGAACTCATGTGTTACTCAAACCATTTCTCACCTGTGTTTCTTACTGAATTATGAAATACAGAGACAGATGAAAAGCCAGAACATAGGCTTATAGTTAAAAGATTTCCTTCAAAGTCCCAGCCCTGTCCCTAAATTGTTCTCTGTACTTGGATCCCTGACCCCTTTGGGCCTCAGTTTCCTTAATTGTCTAAATGGGGATAATAATGCTTAACGTTAGAAGGTTTACATGAGGGTAAAATAAAAACCCATTCAACACAAACACCTACTAAGCACTGAACTATAAACCAAGCACTGCGTTATGTATTGGGAAGAGGTAAAGACACAAAAAGAATGGTCCGGGCTCTCTGAAAGATCACAATATTTGTCATTAGAAATACAAGTGGGTTGTTTTTATAATTGTTTTGGTTTATTTGGTCGAACAAAAAAATTGAACATGTATATTTGATGAAACGGTTTCTAAAATAGACATGTGAATATAAAAAGAGTTAGAAAATATGAAATCATTTTGAAAAGTTGAAGATACTATACAACATGTGGACTCTGATAGCATATTATCATGTTTCCTTATAGTCAGGTTAATTTGCATCTCATATGATCTGGGGGTGAGAGCACAATGGGGATAGGAACATGAGATTATAGTTTAACTAACTCATGAATTGTTCCAAAGGCCTCCTACTCCACTGAGCAGGTGTTAAGAATTAGAAATATTTGATGCTATGAGTCATATGCTTATTGGTATGTAAGTGATAGAGCCTCAATCTTAGTTTTGCAACATTCCAATGTTTTAAAAACTTTTTGGAAGTGCTATGCAATTTCAAATACTGACCATATTTTAGTTTTTATTTTTGTATGATATATCATTTGTGGAAAGGGAAATCACTAAATTATGAGAATGGGTACATTTAATCCCAAAAGGTGGAAAGTTGATAGAATAAACTATTTTATAACATAACGATGATGAAAATTGCAAGTTTTTTTTTTTTTTAAATTCTGGGGGTAAGATGTATACTTAAAATATCTTTAAAGGGGGGTTGTGCTAGTTTTCAGTTGCTTAAGGAGCTAAGTAGTACGTATGGTAACTTCCTGACATAGCCAGCAGAGGCCGCCATGTGTCTCCTGAATTAAAGTTATTCTTGGAGGCTGATTCTAAGAAGGAATATGAGACCTGTGAGACCGCTGAGTTACCAGGTGAAGAATAGCACAGATCACAACATATGATCACAACATGTTTTCAAGATTCTAGTCAATATTTTCAGCAAACGTGCCCATATCAACAGCACTTGCTCTGTGCCAGGCTTAAAGAGGGGACTACGTAGAAGCTTGCTTCTAATGTGTACCTAATGAAACAGTTGTTCTTGTTTCTGAACGAGGACTCCCTGCAACTCCTTACAAGAGCATATGGGTTCTGGGAGTGGCATCGGTTTTGAAGTATGCATAATGAGACATTGCAAAGAAGCTGGGCTTGTGACTGGCCAACAGAAAGTAGTAGAGGGAACAGTGTGCCAGTTCTGAGGCTAGGCCCTAAGAGGCCGTGTGTGTTTCCGTTGTTAGGAGAAAAAGCCAGGACTAGACTGCTAGAGGAGTGTGAGAAACTGAAGGACAAGAGCTTAGCTACCTGCTAACAGCTAGCAGTAGAATTTTGAGCCCATAGCTGAGCCATCTAGTGAACCATCAGCGGGCTCAACCGAAATCAGTCAGATCTGCCCATTATAGCACAACTTCCCTGCAGACCTGTAGACAAATTATCAATAATAAAGAGCTTTTGTTTTTAAGAGGCTAAATTTTGAGGTAGTTTGTTACATGCAGTAGCAAAATAATATACCCTAATTATAATCATAGCTATCACAATAAGGTAATTACTGATACTTATTTCAAGAGGAACACTATTAATGAAATAGTTTAATAATATGAAATTCATATGGCTTATTTTAGAAATAATGATCAGATTCTTCTTGGTGCTTGAGGGAATTAGAATAAGACAATGACTCTTCCTATGATATCAATATCTCTCTACCAATCTACTGTGTTTTTGCAAAAAATGTAAATCAAAACAGAACTCACAGTCCTTCTGCAATGCACTCCAGTGAAAGGACATTTCCTCTTAGTTCTTCTTTGTTACTTGCATTACCTTCTGGAGTTAAAAATGTTGGTGGCCTCTCTCTACTTGATTTAGCTGCAAAAGAGAAAAATCAATATGCATTAAAAGTTATGAATATATATTTCTAGAAATAGTCCTAAAACCCTAATCCCTTTTCAAAACCATTTAACACTGTGAAATTTGTTAAAATACACATGCACACTCTCTGACTTCCAAATAGCTGTCGCTCACTTGGCTAGGAATAGAAATAATTTGGTTGCATAAGCACCAATAGTAAGGACTATTTTACTTTTGTACATTTCCTTAATTTGGGTTAGATTTTTATGAATTTTTTGTGGGTAGGCAAATTTTCAAAATGTAGATATAGAAAGGAAAATTATGTTCTCAAACTACCCATCAGTTAAAATTAGTGCTCAGGTCAAAGTGAAAATTAACTGTCTACCTTCTGGAAAACGTTAGATTTTTCTGAAAGTTATGACTATGGAAGGGATAATTCAGTTTATACTAGGGACAACATTATGGTCAATTCCATTGACTATTCACAGAGATAAACTTGTGGTGGCTGTCCAACATATCAAAACCTCACAACTGCAAGGCTCATGAAAAGCAAAACAGAACAAAATAGAAAGTTACTGACAGAGGCCTGGCAAATTGTGCTATAAATAAGAATAATGGTGGAGTTAAAGAAATTGAAATTAGTTTTCTCAATGAAAAAATAAAGAGGGCTCAAGTCCAAGGTCTCAGGGAGATTTACACAGGTCACCTTCTTTTTAATGGAGATGTAGCCTAATCTTCTGATGGCCTCTCAGAAAAACTTAAAGTAGAAATGACACTATATTAAGGTTCTATAGCCCTTAAAGTTTTTAACACTTTAATGCATTAATTATTTGATGCTCACAAAAACTGAATGAAAGGTAATATGTGAATTATTCTCTTTTCTCAGAAGAAAAAACTAAATATTAGAAGAGATATTACTTGAGAGAAATTAGAGTTTTCCTAAGATTTTAGAGATAATGGAAGAAAAATCTCTCCTCTGAAATCACTTTGGGAATGGTTTTGAGGCCTATATTTTTCGAGTATATTAAAATAAAATAAAATAAAATAGTAAGGCAGGAGTTGTAGTATGTCTACTCTGGTAATTGATAGTACTTTAATGTTTTTTACTTCATATCTCAAAGGTAAAAAATTAATACAGCAGAAATTCTGCCTTATAGATAATTAAGAAGTCCCCATATCCAGAACCCATAATTTTCATTGATTGACTCTGTATCTGACAGCCATATTTCCCTTAAGGAAATCAAATTCTTTTCTCTTTAAAAGAATACAGTTAAATGCTCTGTTTTTAAAAAGATTACTTCCACTGAAGCTAGGGACTGGATTTTAAACCAAACTAAGAGAAATACTATTGCTAATTACTATTGATAATATCATGTAAAAACAGATGGGAAATGTGATGACTTACTATCAAAATCCATTTAATGTTGTGTTGCTACAGGTTACTAAGACTTTGAAGAGTTAGTATTCTAACAGGTTAATGCACTCTGACAATTCTTATTTAGTTCATGAGAAAAATTATGAACAAGACAAAAAATAAAAAATATAATTTTGAACATACATATTTTTTCCAAATCATGTGAAATGGTTCTTTACATGAAAACAGCTATAATAATTTTAATTATTATACATACAACATGTAAAATGTTTTAGTGGCATGTTTGCAAGCTTATAGCTAACTTTCACAAGAAACACACATTTTATTCTAGTGGTATTAAACATGTAACTAAGAATTTCATAAAGAAAAAAGGTTAAATAGCCATGGAGGTGAAGTTAGTGAACTAAATTCTACAATGAAGGAGAGAATATCAGTTACAATCACCATAACTCACCACCATAAAACTCAGTGTCACTCAAATTAGCAGCTATAGTGTCATTCAATTCATCCACTGAAATAAACAGAATATTATGAAGAAAGCAAAAAGTAGGGAAGAAGATATTGTAAAAAAAAATCACTGGGCAACAAAAGCAAACGTACAGAACTATGCTGACCAAGTGCCGCCCCTACCAACTAAAACAGTGCTTTACATTGTATATGACCAACTCGTTAATTCACTTAGCCACCCCCCAACCAGTAATATGTGAACAGAGAAATGAAGCTTCAGGACTGCCAATGAAAGCCATCGTGGGGCATAAAGCACACGCAAATGCTCAGAACTCTGAGTAGATTCAGAAAGTTATCAGGGAAACGGTAATAATAGTAACAGCAAAAAACATAAAATACAGTATTTAGGGTATGCATGCTCTTTAGTCACTATTGACAGATAGTTTCCTGATTAATGAACCTGTTTATGTCAATCAATAGTATTTAATACTTAACATATTTTGCACATATTTTAAATATCATTGAAAGAGAGATTCAGAAAGCTAAACTCTTACCTGAAATCACCTTCACAGAAATAGGTTGCTTCTGCTGTATGGTTTGAGTGTGATTAAATCTGGCGTAACAGATATAGTCTTCACGGGTATCCTCTGGGAGAACATTGGAGAAATAAAGGTCTCCATTCAGACCCTGGGAAACCCTCTCACTTTGTGGAAGTCTTTGAAAGGCTGGAGAAAGGCAGAGAGATATGCAGATCATTCTTCTATTATAAAGTGGCCACTTTCCAAATTAGCGAGATAAATTTATCTATTCATAGTTCTGTGAATTTCACTTGAATGTTTTCTCTATAAAGCTCTTTGAATGTTTTCTCTATAAAGCAAATAACTGTAAACAACAACAACAACAACATGATGACACAATACTACTCCAACTGTACCTGCTTGACCCTAATTTCTTTGGAGGGGGCAGAGGTGAGATTAGAGTTGTACAATAAAGTGTTTTATTTAAGGATGTATAAACCAAAACATGTTTTACCAAATGAGTTTAAGTGACTTTTTCTAATATTTAAATTAGTCTCTAATTATTAAACACATACAAACACATGCCTTAGAAAGTGCATTAAGGAAGCTTTGTAAGAATGTTAACTTGGGTTGCATCTGTGTACTCAGTCAGACACCAAATACTGTGAGAGCACCTAACTGTGAGCTAGGCCCTATGCAAAGCGTCAGGCATGCCAGGGTCCCTAACCTGTAATTAAATGAATAACTGTCAGCACTCTAACTTTCTAGCTTTGAGTTTTACTTTCGCTCAGGTCCAGTTAAGGAACTCTAGCCTTTAGCATGGAAGGAATATTTTCTAGGCAGGTGAAGGACTTGGGCTGGTGAGACCACTTATCTATGTGTGAATTTACACTTGGCTGACTAACATGCCTCATGGAGCTTCTGACTCAGTTCACAGAGCCTTAACTGTGAGAATTCTTCAGCTCTGAAGTGAGAGAACTAGGAAAAATCGCACATCCCAGGTGCCTCGGGCGAAGTTGTCTGGCCAGAGGATTTCACCAGTCTGAGTCATGCAGCTGTGTTCCTCCTGAAGCAAGTGCCCTCATCTAACATTTCATGAAAGGCAAAATTATGGCTAACAGCCTACAATTCCCTTGGACAGGAAAAGGCAGGAAAATGTGGAGCCAAAGCTTGAAAGAATATTGGTTAGCCACATTAACCAAGTCCTTGGGCAGGATGGGGATCTGGGTAGTGGTTGTAAATTCATGGTTTTGAGTCATTAATTCATAAGGCAGAGGTCCCCAACCTTTTTGGAACCAGGGACCGGTGCTCCTATGAGAATCTAATGCCTGATGATCTAGGTGGAGCTGAGGCGGTGATGCTATGCTGTGGAGTGGCTGCAAATACAGATGAAGCTTTGCTTGTTGGCTGGCTGCTCACCTCCTGCTGTGCAGCCTGGTTCCTTACAGGCCATAGACCAGTATCGGTCCAAGGCTTGGGGGTTAGGAACCCTTGCCCTAAGGAAAAGATTGTTTTAAAAATAACTTAAGAAAAATAATGTACATTTATTTAGTGAATACAGAAAGTCAAAGATAAGCATATGGTAATTCTCTTCCATTTCTCCTGCTGTATTTTATTACTGATGGGAGTTGGTAGATCAAATTAAAGTGCTTATTGAGTTTTTCTGCATTACATTGGGGAAAAAAAATGTATTCAGATAGGAATAAATTGATAATGTCATCTTGCAAGAAAAATGTGATACAGATCTGAATTTTTTCTCTTATGCAATTTTATTTGAAAGATCCAGAAGCTTTGACCAAAATTTATGTAAATTACATAGCCAGCAGTGCAATGTGGAAAAAAAATTAGTTACATATTCAGAGATTCTGAGACTTAACATGTATATATCTCTTTATTAAGTGGAAAAATCATCATTTCTGAATAAGAACCAAAGACCAAATACCTGGCCTCATTTTGGCAGTGACATTTGGATACTATTATTCTTAATGTCATACAGAGCTCATTTACATTTGATTTTTTACTTATTTTTTCAAAGTCTGTAAAAGCTGTTATGTAATTATAGGAAAAATATATTGGCTCATTTATTCATGTATATATTTATTTTCCATTTCTTTGTGATACTCTGAGTGTTTTCAACTAAGTCAAAAACGGAAATTACATGTTAGAGGTAAGTTTTATCCTTAGTAATATGTACAACCTGTGATTTCAGAGGAAATCATGTCATTGAGAACAGAATATACTCCCCACAAATATTTTGTATTCATTACCACCATTCCATCTAAATGACTCTTGTCAAGGTCAACAGTGACCTCCACGTTGCCAAGTTCAATAGCCATTTCTTAGATCAGAAGTTATTTGGTCTTTCAGCAGCATTTGAAAAAGTTGATTGTTTTGTCTTCTCGACACTCTTTGTTCACCTTGTCCCAGGGGACACTGCTCTTTGTTCTCTTCTTACTGCAGTGACTCTCTTTCTCATTTACTTTGCTGGTCTCCTTAAGTGCTTGGCCCCTGGAGGGCTCCTGGTCTCAGTCCCATAGGATTTGCTCTTCATGGCCTGCATTCCTTTCCTCAGTTCTCTCATCCAGGCCCTGGCTCTAGGGAGCACCTACACCAAACGCTCATACACTGCTGACTGGCACTCTGAATCTTCTTCTGACTCATGTAGCTCTGACTCCTGTTGGGCATCTCTCCATGGATGTCTTACAGGGCTCTCAGATCCCAAACCCTGATTTCCTAGTCTCCTGGAAGAACCACATGGTACCTCAAAGGTAACATGCTAACCTATTAGCTCAGGTGGTCTGGGAGGGTGGGAGAGGCAAAGCAACAAACAATCCCCTCAAGGATAGGGATGGGTGGCCAAATGTTAAATTGCCTAATGGGAAGACTTCATTTCTCTGTGCCTCGGTTTCCTCAACTAAAAAGTGGAAAGAATAACCAGACATGCCTCACAGGGTTGTCATAAAAAATTGATGAGATAACCCGCATAAAGTCCTTGGCAAAGGGACTAACACTTAGTAAATGCTCAATAAACATTAGCTACTGTTGGGGATAAAAAACAAAAACAAAACTTGAATGAAAAAATATAACATATCTGAAATAGCTTGATTTTGTCCCCTCTGTGGGCTTCTGCTATTTCATAAAATGGCAATTCCATTTTACCAGTTGCTCAGTCTTCGACTTTGTAGTTATCTTTAATTTTTTTCTCTCATGTCCCCATCCTGACCCCAATAAATTCTAGAGGATCTACCTTCAAAATATATCCAGAATCTGACCATTTCTTACCCACTTGACTGACAGTACCTGAGTCCAAATTAGCATCAACTCCTGCCTAAATAATGGCAGTGGTCTCCTAACAGGAAGCCAACTCTTTCTTTTGTCCTTTATATTTACCATACATGAACGAACGTGATGCTATTACTATTTGTATTGTTTCAGGTAAAGTCTCTCCTTCACTGTTTCCCTACTTCAGTCAGAATAAAAGACAAAGCCCTCTGCATTGAGCCCCTGGACTTTCTGACCTTTTCTATCACTTTCCCCCTTGGCCCACTTGGTCCGGCCCCACTGGCCTCCCTGCTGCCTTTTACACATACCAGGGTGCCCCTTGCCTTAGGGGCTTGTACCAGTTTTCCCTTTACACACAGATATTTAGAGGACTGCTTTACTCACCCATTCCTTTAAGTCTCTGCTCAAAACTGTGCTTATTTTTCTGTATATCACTTATTGCCAACAAACACATATTTTTTTAATGCATTTATTGTCTATTTCCTTCTCTATCTCTTTCTATTTTCACTGCACAGAATATAAGCTAAGTGAGAGCCAGAAACTTGTTTGGTTTATTCAGAGCAATGTGTAGTACATAGTAGGTACTCAAAAATCGAGTGAATGAATGAAAGGACACACTATTTACTTTAATGAACATTTATTTTCCCAAGCATCTCTAAAACATTTTATAAACATTTTATGAATCACAGGAAGTCATAATTTATTATGACAGCAAATAATCATAAGACTCTTGCAGAAAGCAAATTTATATTTTTAAAACTTACAGTTATCCATCCAAAATATTATAGGTGATGGTAATCCAACCGGGGGTCTGCAGGGAAGTACCAAAGGCTGGCCATTTCGAAGTGTTATTGGTTCGAGTTTTTCTTTGGTCCACAACGGTGACCCTACGAAATAAAATAAAAACTCCCATCGTTTCTACATTGAAAAAGAAAAAGAACACCAAAGACAAACTAAACTTTTGGGGAAATAGTAATTCAGAATTTATGTATATTAAGGTAATTTTTAAATACAGTGATCAAAGTAAAAAAATGACAGTTTTCTATCACTGTTATTAATAGTATAAATTCTAAGTCAGCAATTCTAAGCCTAAGAACTTATTAAATAAATCATTAAGAAGATACATAATTTTACTAAAAGCATGTTCTTCACGAAAGAATGGAAAACACTTAAATGCCAAAAGATTTGTTATATAACTGTATAACTTTCAATATCATAGAGTATTATATATTATACAAGTATACTTATTACAAGATTGATATGAGATTATATATATCATAGGTAAGTCAGAAAAGGTTATAAAATAGTACTTCAGAATGAGATTGTTTTAAACACATACAAACACATCTGGCTAAAAAATAACGGAAAGAGCATTAGTTATTTTCTTGAATGGAAGGATTCAAAAGTAATTTTAAAATTTCTTTTTCATTTGCAATTAATTTTTTACATAATGACCATGTATTACACATGTAATAAAAATAGTTTTAAAAAAGATCAGAACTGCAATGGTCACTTTTCTTTAAATATATGCTCTTGGGTTGTTGAGAAGATTTGGGTATAGATCACTGCAAAGAGCCACAATAATATCAAGGTAGTGAGGCCACTCTATTTCCAGTGAAATTTTGAAAAAAAAAGTTTTAAATAATAATACTTAGTCCTCGATTGCCTATTTCATACTGGATTTATTTCCATCTGGCTGTAAGAAATTTGCTTGTACATAAAACACATGGGGACCTCTGGGAAAAAATGGTGTAGATGATAGAGGCTTTGCTCATTCCTTCTTGCTACCAAATCAAACTTGTGACAGAAACACAGAGCAAACAGAAGAAAAAACATGTATCAAAAACAAGAATAAAGAATGGTAATAACTACTATATTCCTATCAACAAGTCCCTCAGATGGAAAAGAATTAAGTGCTCCAACCAAGATAGGGAAGCTGAATGGATAAGAAAACAAGACCCCTACATACGCTGCCTACAAGAGACTTATTTCAGATTAAAAGACACACACACAGACTAAAAGGAAGGGGATGGAAAAAGATATTGCTTTGATGAACCTAGAGGGTATGGCACTGAATGAAATAGGTTGGATAGAGAAAGACACATATCACATGATTTCATATACATGTGGAATCTAAAGAACAAAATAAACAACAGCAAAATGGAAATAACTCATAGATACAGAGAATATTTTCAGGGCTACTAGATGGGAGGGGAGTTGGAGGGACAGCAAAAAAAGGCAAAAGGATTAAGAAGTATAAATGAATAGTTACAAAATAGACATAGAGATATAAAGTGTAGCATAAGGAAAATAGTTTATAATGCAATAAATATATAAGGGGAAGTGGGGTACTAGACTTAGTGGGGTGATCACTTTGCGAGTTATATAGATTTCTAATCACTATATTAGTACTATGAAACATATTATTGTATGTCAACTATAATTGAAAAAAACTCATTGAATTATACAATGTAAATATAAGCAACTAATTGTCTATTATATTTCAATAAAGCTGGAAAAAAATACATGAGAAATTAATAATTAGGTCAATTTGAGGAAGAAACACTTTTCTTACCCCCAGTGTTTTATTCTGGACTCGTATAAAAGACAGTGGACTGACAAGCATTAGGCTGAGAACTTAGGGTAAAGAGGAAAAGAGCAATAATTTTTATGCAAAACCAAATCAGAGTATTGGAATTAGTGCCATTACTTTCTTGTAATAGTATTTAGATGATATGACAGATGCTGAATCTCAGAGCCATATTTTAAAAAGATCCACCTGTTTGGTGGACAAGTCTCACTTACTGGATGGACGAACGACAATATTATTAGAAATTGCAGCTCCGCGTTCATTCCTGGCTGTACACTGATAGACTCCTTCATAAGTCTCTACTTTCCCTTCGCTCATGATGTTAATTATGAGAGTTCCTGAGTCAGGCTTCATGGTGACGAGAAGGTCTTTATCTATGTCAAAATGAGTCCCATTTCGGGTCCAGGAGAAGCTGCTCAACACATAAAGGATTAAGTTTGTTAATAGTTCAGAAAAACAGGGTTACTTACTCTTTAATAAATCCCTAAGCAGTTTATGGGTTTCCAGAAATCATTATTAGATTTTAATATTCAGTAAAAGAGCAATAGGCTCCATACCTAAATGTTTCATTGAATCGTCACTTAGAAAAAGTGCTGGCCATACATTTTAAGATATTTCTCTTCATTAGAACTAGCTGAACTCTGACTCAATAAAGAAATCATGCACACAAATTGCCTGTCATTTTTCAAAGACAGGAAGCAGATCTCCTAGGCACTCTCTTAGAGCTTCATTAGCATTTTTATTGTAAATTCTGTTGTTCATAGAGTTGATAACCTATCCACTAAATTTTGCTCTGGGCTAAAATGTGACAAGAAAGGCCTTCACAAGTGAACAGACAAGGTTCAAGTTACCAAAGTGTGAGTTGGGAGGAAGAGAAGAAATATGAATTCAGTGGTGTTTTAAATGTCGGTTATTGAAAGTGATAATTCTATATGTAGCATATTTTGACAAATTTTAATTCTAGAGATGATTTTATAAATTTCTTAAAAGTATTTCAAATTGTCAACTGAAATTCTTCTTTCTCAGTTTTATTTGTATAAAAGATTCCCTTATGTAAAAGTCACACTGCTCATGTAACTAAATACTTTATAAACTAGCCACAAATTAACAATAGCCATGCTCATGCAAATGCATGACTCTCTAAACTTCACTATGTTTTCCAGGCCCACTGCTTATTCTTGGTATTAGTGGTTGTCACAACTGCTAGGGCAGGAGATGGTGGTGGCGGGTGCTACTGGCATATAGTAGGTACAGGCGAGAGATGCTGCTAAATATCCTACAATACAGAGGACAGCCCCCATGCTCACAACAAAAAATTATCTGGCCTACAATATCGAGTACTGAGATGGAGAGATCCTGCCTTACAGAGTTACAGGAGGTAATAAATAAGTGTAAAACTGAAGGGAAAGTCCAACAAATGACATTGTAGGGCCTGGCTGCTAGAGGGTTTCCAATAACGGAAAAATATATAGCAGAACATACGGTTTTTAAGTAAACCTTTGATGAAAGTTTTAATATACTTAAATATTTAGTACCAGTTAATTTTTTTCTGAGGTGCCAGTCTGTGATAGTTTGGTAAGGCCAGTAATAGACAAAGTCAGAAATAAAATATTTAGAAACTTTCATTTCTTTATTACTTAAAAAATCCACATTATATTTTAATGATAATACAGCTTTCCAAAACTCCTATATATTCCTGAACAAGTTACAGATCATCCACTAATTAGCTATGGGACCTTGAATAAGTTACCTAGCATTTCTAGGCACACCTATAAAATATATTGGTCTTTAACATCTCTCCTAATTCTAAGATGCCATGTAGCACGTGTGCCAAGATTCTTTTGGAAAATCCTGAGTACTGAACCCTGCCAAGTTTGGAAACCCACTTAGGATTATTTTACAGACCTCTCTAGAGATAAGAGAGATCTTAGAAGTCATCAAATTCAACTTGTTTATTTTACAGATGAAGAAACTGAGGCCCAGAGAAAAAAGATTTCCCCATGTCATAAGGCAATTAGAGCAAATAGAAGGCTCTTTCCACATCTCCCCATAATTTTTGAGCATTTTGCAGAAGGGTATGAGTACAATCATCTGGGTTTTTAAGAATAAACTGACTTTAATTAAGCAGAGAAACAAAAGAATGAACCTATAAATGATGCGTTAGAGATGTGCAGGACCTGAAATTAACTTCGACATTAATCTCAGCGCTTACTTTCAGGACTATCACAAAGCAGAAAGCACACCCACCTTGGAGGAGGTTTTCCTTTGGCCTCACACTGGATTACAATATTCTCCCGGGGGTCAATAATGTAATCTTTTGGAGACTGTTGAGTAATGGTTGGAGGTTGTACCACTTAATTGTAGAAGAACAATGTAAAGAAATAAATCATTTAATATCATAATAGCAATCATTTTTTTTTCTACATCAAAATCACCCTAGGCTAAATATGCTCCAAATGTTTTTAATAATTTCTACGATGGCAGCACATATCTGAGTATATTTTAACTAATAGTCTCCTAAAACTTTGAAGTCAAGGTATAACTTCCTTTTGGTAACTTTATAAGTACTCACGAAGCGCATTTTCCCCCACTAAAAGTTTGGGGAAGTAATTACCAATACAAGCTGAATATTAAGAAAGCTTCTTTTCTGATGTAACAATGAGAAATTCCCCTGAGCCCTTTGGTTCAGACAAGTCCTTCCAATGAAATTTATGTTATAGGTAATGTTGTGTTTCTTAAGAAAAAGTAAGTGATTTATAGTTCACCCTTGTACTAATATAAATATATGATGAGAACAAATAAATTTGAGAAGTTAATGTTGAAAAGATGGTTAAATTAGAGATCTGACATGTCTTATTAGAGCCAGGAGGTAGGTGGCTACTAAGAACAAAGATAAAAGTCTTATTTAGAAGATAAGGGGATTTTGGAAGTTCTCTGTTATAGGAGACATTTCCATTTCACTCTTCAATGTGTTCCTCTGATCATTTATTATCAAACCATAGGAGGAAACCCTTCTGACCCAGAACAATTTAATCTGAAGAAAGCAGGCATTTGGATGTCTATCGTTTAAGTCAGTCTAAGATTGCTATGCCCTTCTTGTGAAGTCAGAATCACAGAGTGTTAGAACAGGAAGGGACTGGAGAGAAAACCTATTTCAAATTCTTTCTTGCTCATGGCAACAACTAAGGCTCAAAATAGAAAAGATCTAAACTCTCCTAGTAGAAGCCACTGCCTTGCATAAGTCCAGAAAAAGTCGTTTACACACACCAGAGATTTTCAACCATGGGCAATTTGCCCCCACTCTTTGGGAGACATTTGGCCATATCTGGAGACAGTTTTGGTTATCACCACTGAAGCCTGAGACTGGGGAGGTAGGGAGGGTGGGTACTGGTATGTAGTGGGTAGAGGCCAGGGATGCTGTTAAACATTTTGCAAGGTACAGAAAAGCCCCTGGAACAAAGACTTATCTGAGCCCAAGGTCAGCAGTGCTGAGGCTGAGAACCTGAACCGCAATGGGAACAGTCCCCCAGAGCTGCACCAGGCAGTGGCCCTGCTCCAGGGTGCTCTCCTCTGCTCATGAAGCTTTTCCCAAGGACCTCTCTTAGACTTGCACTCTCCTTTCCTTTCCTTTTGCATTTGACACTCTGGATTATTGAAGTTTTTCATTTTCTACATCTTCCCTTTCTTCTCTGCCCACGCTCTGTGCTTCTTCTGTGAAACCTCTTCCACCTACCAACAAGTGTTTCCCCAAGCTTAATAACTGCCCTTAGCTCTTATCTTTGTTTACTGCGGTTAATTGTTGCCAGGGCTAAATTTATCACATGTTTAATGTCTTACAAATCTACAAACATGGTTCTCTTCTCTTGCTTTGTCTCCAGTCTTGTCCTGTCCACCAGATGTCCCTTACTAAATATCCAAATAACACCTAAAATACAGATCAAAAGCTAAATCCATTATTGTCATCATTTATTGTTCGCCTCTTAAATGCCGGATACTGTGCAGTATCAATTTCCCCTCCCTTTAGCAAGATTTCTCCCCTTCCTCCTTCTCCTGACAATCTTGCGGCTCCTCTCATCTCCACTTCAACACAGAACCCTCATTCTTCTCTATCAGTTTCCAATGCTGGTGAGCAGTTTGGTCTGGTGGCTAAGAACTAATCTGTTTCTTTCTTACCAGCTGTGAGACTTCAAGCAACTTTCTTAACTTCCATAAAACCTAGTGTCCTTAGGGAGAAAATAGGGTTTAAAAGTGGTATCTAACTTCTAGAGTCACTGGGAAAATTAAAGGATTTTTGTAAAATTCTTAGTACATGCCAATACTATAATGGTTTTGATGTTAGCTATGTTTACATTATTATCATAATCATTTTTATTTAGACCAGTTTCACCTTTGAGTGATCCTTTAGGCTCTGGGAATATAGAGTCTGGGATGATGCAAAGAAGCCTGAATTTCACACCCAGGGAATGGTGGACATAGGTTGTAGGTGAGGGAATCCTTAGGAGTGACTCAGTCCAATTTCTTGTGGTTTTCTGCAAGTGACAGAGGCGCAAGGCTGGTAGTTTCAGACCCAGAAATTCTATTCATGTGTCTGCAACAGATATGACCTAGATGCCACTCTTAACTGGCAGGAGTTTACTGTCCAGATGTACCTGTTTGAACAGTGCTTAGGTCACCTGGCAACCAACAAATGCTTTGAAGTAATAAGGAAAAAAAGGTGATTTTGCATAATTGTCCTGGTTAATCCAATATCAAAGGAGTTTTCAAATGCTTTGAAACTATTTTTAAGATAGATGATAGATGATGCCCAACTGTCAGAGGCAGCAAAAGTTTCACTTAGAGCAAGCCACTCAGAAACACTGTGTGTATGGGGTGATGCTTATTGCCTTTTGCACACTTCAAAACAGTATTCAGATTCTCCAGACCATTATACTAATGACACCTGAAAACACGTGTCTACACAGTCCACAGGCTGAAGAAGAATAAGAGGGTATACAGATGCCGATTTGGATGAAGCATCTGCATGCACCCACTTTCCAAAAGATACCAAAAGACATGTCTCTATTCCAGCAAACATTAAATAGCATTTAGAATCAGAAAGTCATTCTTTTAAATTTTGTGAATTTTCTCATTGAGTTACATCAGATGTGAAAAAGCACAGAAGTTAGTAGAGCATAATATAGGTAAAAGAAAAATAATAATACCTGAGTCTTCAGAATTCATGCAGGGAATACATGAAACTTGCTTCTTGGTATTTAAATGGTTAGCCACAGTAAATACACATGCTTAAAAAGACATTAGTCACAAAACATAAAAATTGTGCATTTAATTCACACTATTAATTCAAAAACAAAGACATGGCCAATTTTTCACACTGCCTAGTAATTACAGAAAGACACTTACAGTCTTCAAGAAGTTTTGCTTTTTCCCCATCAATATCAGCAGGTGAGTGGGCAAACGAATTAAAGAAAACCAGATGTTAGTAATGAGAACGTTAGAACCCTGAAGTTAAAAGGGGCATCTTGTCTATTTGATTTGACCTAAAAAACCATATAGCAAAGGTTGAAGTTGTCAAGTAGTAAGAGAAAGAAACTCCTATTCATGATTTCGTTTATTCCTGCAGCAACTATCCTACATAACATATGCAAGAACAAAATAAAATGCTGTAGGCAAAAAATGATTCTTCCAGAAATAGGTATGGCTAATTTCATTCCATCCATGTTGTACACTGGACAAGTAATTATGTTCAATTTGAAAAACAGCTGAAATCTACAATTAATCTGAGTTGTCACATACTGTGTAGTGTCTGGTCCTATTATCTCAGACATCACTATGCACATGGCAATGATACTTAACAATTTTACATGGCTGCAATGACAGTGCTTCATTAAAGCCGAAGCCAACACTCGTTTTAGGTTTTATATTTCCATGGTTCATCCCCAAGTCAGCAACTGAACTTTTCAGACTGTTAGCATATTTCTGCTTCAAAATTCCTCAATCACCCAGAGATTGCTAGTACCCACACCAAGGAGCAGCTCATGTAGAAGGGCTGTAAGGAATAGGAGCAAGGAAGAAATTACATTAGCATGCAATTCAAATGATTTTGCAGGGCTGCCTGTCACTGTACTTGCAAAGGTTAATGCAGGAGCGCCTGGGTTGTCTGTGACTTTCTTTTCATCATGGTTATGCTCTTTCTCCATTAGCAGCGATAATTGAGTTAGCCATAGGTGACTGTTTCCCTTTGATTGTTAGATTGAGCAGTTAGATTAAGGGGGATATATTTAACAAAAGAGAGAACAAAAGCATTTCTTCCTAGTGCTTTTCTCTCTCTCCTTTATCTGTTAGGGCACCAGTTTAAGCATTCCAACTCCAACGGGCTTACACAATCTTTCTTTCTTTCTCTCTCTTTCTTTCTTCCTTTCCTTTTTCTTTCTTTCTTTGAAAATTGAAATTAAGGTCATTGAATGAATATTTTTTAAAAATAACTACAATATTGCATTTTATTGAACTTTAGACTATAGATGCACAGCAAAGGAATTCAACAAAGTGTGGGGCAAACCACATCTCTTTTTAATGTCTTCCCACTGGCAGTTGCAACCTCTTTGTCGAAAAATGACATCCCAACAATTGAATAGCCCCAGGAAAGTGCTATCTTCCTTGCACCTTGGAAAGCTTGCCAAACAGATGTTCTATTCAGGAAGCTAATGGATTTAAAGAGGTCATGCAGATTAGGGATAAAGAATAAATCAATTCTGAAGTATAGTAATTGTCCAGATTTGAAATTCTGCTTTCCAATGAAGGAAAAGCTACCAGCTGAAACTAAGCATTATCTTCATTTTTCATAAATAGGCCACCCAGACCAGGGAGAGTACAGTATAAACTTTATCATTAAGAAAAGAGTGGGCTAATTTAGAGACTGTTACTTGCTTCATTTTAAAGAGTGTTTTTGCAGGTGACTTGTTTTATTCTCAAAATTTACATCTTGATCTTTGATTACATTTTTAAACCAAAGAAGACCCTTCATTAAGCTTTAGATAAGATATATTTCCTAGATCTATACTCATATTTAAGATTCAAAATCAAAGGTGAATTTTACCTTGTCTAAATCAAGGGAAATGAATTATAGGTAGTTTGGGGATACAGAGGTGGCATAGGGTTGACTGAGAGACCATCCCCCAGTCTTTTCCAGAGAACTCTGAGCATATGAAGGGAGACGGTGGAGAAGCAAGAAGCGAGAAGGGTAAGTGGGGGTGGGGTGGTCTCCATGATCATTTTAAACCAATTCATTTGGTTTTCTTGTACAATTGCTTCTATAAAGAGTCCTGTTGGGAAGACCAGGGTAGCCTACAATTCACTCCTTCTCTGGCCAGCGTCCCCATGGTACACAAAAGGCACCTGAGGGGTGAGAAAGATAATGATAGGGAGGGAACAATGTGTCTGACTGTTTCAATGGCCATTTCTATGGTGTGGTTCTTTATAAACACCAGGTGCTGAAGGTAAAAGCCAAATTAATTTTGATTAGCTTTTCAGTATCACACAGACACCTCTATTCACACAGTTCTGAGTGATGGTAAATGCTGGGGAGGTTTTGACTCCCGGGCCTAACAGCTTTAAAACGTTAATACTTACGATCAAGAGGTACTTCCAGTGCACTAATCATCTGGCACAGGAAGAGAATCAGGGGCACTCTCCCTGCAGATAAGCGCTTCTTTTTCGGCATTATTTTAAGCTGCATTAGCTTAACTCCTGCTGAGACCCACAAACTGAATTTCCTTTTCTTCTTTCACAAAAGATTTGTGTGCAATGTTTAAATAATTTTCATGCAGGAAACTGAAAAAGGATAGAATAAGAATTAATAGTGTATTAAAAAGAATGAAATGAAGAGTGGAAATCTGTAGCATAGAAAATCAGTCCTTGTATTATACATGAACTCTAAAAGGGAGCTAATTTTTAAATATTTAACTCTCAAGACTGGAATAATCAATTATTCATAAATTAGCTGAAATCAGGTCTTGAATACTTGGCACATTATGTCTACTTTGCCATCCATATGGTTTTTCCATTTTAAACATCTGCATTTATAGCAGAGGGCCTGCCATGTTATTCCTAATAGATCACACGAACTTGGCTTATAAGCCAGTTAGAAGTGTGACGTTAGAGGGGAGGCTTAATAGCTTCTCCATTCTAGAGATTATCTCTGGGAGCTTCAGGGTATTGTTGCAAATTTGTTTCAAACCCCAAACACTGATTTACCTACCAGCTGAACCACTGACAATTCAGGCTTTCCCCATCTCTCACCTAGACTACAGCAACAGACATGCCTGGGCTCTGGGTTCCAGGTCTTTTTCTCACAGCAGTCACCCTCCTGAACAGTGCTGATTAATTTTTCCTAAAGGGTCTTCTTTGGTTAAACATTGGGAATAACTATATGGGATAGAGTTCAATATACCCTCAAATAAAAAATGTAAAAACTCTTAATAATTTGGCCTCAATTTATCCTATCAAGCTTATACTCTCCTATTTCCATATAACTATTTTTTGTTTGTTTGATGGTCTGTTTCTGTTTTTCTTTCTGGAGTCAATCCTTCAATATATGCTTTGAATTTTCTCACTTTCTTGCCTTTGTTTATTTTATTCCTTCTCCCTGGAATGCCTTCTCCAATATATTTCCTTATCAAAGTCCAACTTATTTCTTTATAGATCAATTAAAATTGAAACATTAGCTGATCACCCAAACTAAACGTCATTTCACTCTGTAAGAATTCCTGAAATTCCTTGTTTTAATCATCACATATATTGGATAGATAGATATAGAAATAAATAGACTTTTTTTTTTTTTTGTATGCATGTTCTCTCCCTTAGTCCTTCAGGCAAAGAAAGTGCCTCTCCCATCTTTGTACATGTCTCCCATCACCTAATCTAGTATGCCCTGTACAGTAAGGTGTTCACTGTCCACTGGAAAGCATGAATACAAATACAGAATACAGACCTCTGTCCCACAGCAGACTCCTACATAAAAGGAAAGGTTTAATCATTGTCTTCTCATTAGTAAAGAGAGGTGGGGTGACCAATGACTCTCTCAAGAAGGTAGGAGTGATGTCATTATTACAAATATGGGTAGCTCTCACAGCTTAATTACTGAATTATTTGTGATTTTTATTATTTATTTGTGTATTTTTATAATGCCCACATTTCCTACTAAACTGAAAGCCTCCTAAAGGTAGGGACTGCAACTTTCTAGTTCCCCCATTGTGTCCCCAGAGCTCATCACAGTGTACATGGTAGGGAGCAAATTAATACTTGCAGGAAAAAATGAAAGGACAAAAGGGGAATGAAATGGAGACTTATGCTCTTTGAAGATGAGGTTTTATTCAGATAGGCAGTCTGACCATAGTCTACATAAGACTATATTTATATTTACACTACTTGGTTTAAAAACCAATCTCTTGTCGATATGATCAAATTAGTTGTTAAATTATGTGTGTGTGGAATAGAGCTTAAATGTACAAAAAGAAAATGAAACAATGCTGATAATGTGTTTTGTCAGCAATTGAGTTCTGATTTGAACCTGATTACAATTGTAGTTGGATACTTCTTGCTCTAAATACAAAAAAAGAACTCATTGTGCTAAATATAAACATTATACATATATAAATATTAATTTGTTAATGAACCATCCATACTATGTGGTTTCATTTAAGATCTAGGAAGTTTGGTTTTCCGTAACATAATATATAAACAATCCTGTCCATTAAACATTAACAGGCAGATACAGAAGTTCATACAACCATGTCCAACCAAAATACAAACCGTATGTCTAACCAAAATACAAAACATATCTATATCATTTAGCCAAATTTACTCTGGTCTCTCATGACTTTCTGTTAAAATGCTAACTCCGAATTTACACAAAAGCTTCAGAGAAAATAAAAATAACTGGCATAAATGGCACTAAAACAAGTTGATGCTACATACTACACACATTGAGAGAAAACTACGGAATCAAACACTGAGGAAACAAATGGCATACCTGCCTGATTTGTGTGTTAAGCTAATCAAGTTTAAGTGCCTAGCTCTCTGAAGAGGTGCTGGAGAACTAAAACACTCTCTAAAAGATATACCAATAAATTGTAATGCTTGAAAAATCTTTAGCAAATACATACAATTTCTGTCATAAGTTCTTCATTTATTATTTATTTTTTCTGGATGCCTTAACTATTCAACCTTCAAAATATAGAAAACCATTAGACAACTTCATAGAAAAGAAAGTATCATTCAACCTGCTTTAGCTTTTAAGAGTATATGTGGAATAAAATATTACACATTAAATCGCAGTGTTGTATAAAGAAAAAAATATTAAGAAAAGTTGGGAAGGCACTTACTAAAAGAGACACAAGTAAATCCTCACAATGAGAGGAGGCCATGAACTATGACAACTGAAGATACAGTCTCTCTTCTAAGTTGTAAGTTAACTGCACGAAGAGACACAAAATCATCTCCAGTGTAGACTCCGTTTGGGAAGGACAAAGCGATGGCCCAGCCCATCCTCTGACTTCTCTGCCCATGGAAATTCACCCACTGCTCCTACGTATGCTGTCATAGGTGAAAAACCCAAGCTCACAGATAGCACTAGGTCCCGGGCACTCAGTCAAAGTGAAAATCAAATACAGCTACAGAAAACTGAGCTTTCTTTCTGTAAGGGTTATGTGCTCTGCATGTCTCACAAAGAAAAACCACTGCTTCTGCACTCTTAATATTGATATCAACGTCCTGCCCTGCTAGGAGCGATCTGCCTTATAGTTTACCTTGGAAAATGATGGCTGTTCTCTCTCATATGAGAATCATGAACTAAAACTAAATTGTTTATACAATTACATTAAAATGAATGAAACGCTGATTTAAAAGAGCAGCATTATGTTTATTTTATTCAAGGCTAAAGAGTATGTTAGTATAGAATAGCTTGTAATTTGCAAAAAATATTTGCCACAGACATTTGAAAGCATGTTTGAATGAGACAAATGGTAGGTTCATCTTTGGAATATAAATTATCTTGATATTTGAAACCACATATATAGTTAAAATGACCCAGTGTAATGATAAACAATAAAGCCTTTTAATATTTCACTTCATTTTACTCCATTCAAAGCAACTTTTCACATGTCACCTGTAGAACTTCTAAAAACAGAAGGGGAAAAAATTCCCCCTTCTTTAGTAAACTTTTCATCATTAGAAAAGAAATGCAGTTTGGGGTTTCCTTACTTCTTTTTGCCTAAAATTTATATTAAATCAAAGAGCAAATGTTCCCCTGAATTATTTATCATATATATTTTGAAAAATCTAAATTTTGACAAAGGATTCATTCATATTAAGCCCAAGAAACATAACTCTTCTGTTGTTTACTTAAGAAGTCTGATCATTAGTAAGAAAATAAAATCTTTGTTTTTCTCTCAAGTGAAAGATGAAATTAGCTTAATTAAAAAAAATGTACAAGCTTTCTACCAGAATTGGAAGGCCATGAATTACTTACCATTTCATTCTAGTCTGTTGTACTTTTCAGCATCCCAGCATGGGGGGTTCAATGCTGATTGCACAGCGTAATATGATTGACTTCCTAAGCCAATAAACCTGTGACTGGATGCCGTTTAGTACAGTAATTATTGCTCTGGTGACTCATCAGTGCCTGGCCTCACAGATTGGATAGCTAACTGGGTGTGACATCGTCTTGACTGTGAAAGGCATTTTTCAACAGTGAACTCTAGGACAGTTACATTTTATATTTTCTTAAGTATTTACTATAAGGAATAAGCACATTAATGCCCATTCTTAGCCCATATTTTTGCTTTTCAATCACAGATTTTGAGTCTGAGACTATGGAAGGAAGGTCAGAGAAAGTGCACAATGACTTCACATAATTAAAACCTTGACACACATGAATCTACACAATGACACTACCATGAATGCTCCTCTGAATAAAGCAGTCTGGGATTACATGACTACAGAGATTCTAACGATCTCATTAAGTAACAAGACAAACTTAATGAAGTACTAAGGAACATGTTTCTAATTTCCTCCTAGCCCAAAAAGCTGTCCCATAGTAGACTTTCTACAAGGAACTGATAGCTAGAACCTGGCATAGCACTGAAGGAAAGGTGAACAATTAACAGATATTTTTTACCAAATAATAGATAAGGGAATACATCTTGATAACAGCTCAAATCTCTGTTCCTTAGAGCACTATAACTGATTAACTTGTTTGATATTCATAAAAGCTTCGGGAAATAGGAAAGTGGGTATTATACCCAATTAATAGATGAGAGAGGAAAATAAACCAATTACAATGGCTATTATTCATTGAGCACCTTCCATGTACCAACAATTACACTGTTGCCCCATGCATAAATTTATCTCATCTTAACAACAACCCTAACAGGTAAATTCTATTATATTTTCAAATGTACTGATGAGGAATCTAAGATGCAGTATGGTGAAGTCGTCTGCTTAAGGACATACACATAATATGTGAATTGCCAGACCTAGAGCTCCAATTCTTCTGAAAAGATCTGGAGCTTTCAGCCATCTTACATTGTCACATGCTGGGAAGCCCTTAGCACTTCCCTCCCTTTCATATCCTTTTATTTACATTTATCGAATTATCAAATGGAATTATCAAGTTTAGTCACCGATGTTTTAAAAAAAGTATGAATGGTTTCTGAGTATCTACAAAAGATCTTCACAGTGTTGCCAATAACACAACTTCAGGGGTCCTACTTTGGAGTCAGGAATAGTGCCAGCTAGAACTGTACCACATGCTGGCCCTGGCCTTTTAAAAG